ACGACACAAAGTCCGGGTCTCTCTCATTTACCCCTATTTTCCTTTCATTCTTTCACACTACGTTTAACTTTCTGTATCTTTTGGTGGTCCTCTTTTTTCGTCCATCGATATTCACTCATTCGTTCAGTCGACTTTCGTCATTTGGATTTAGCGATAAAAGCATTGCACAGGCGTTTTACATTGCATTGATATATGAGGCATCGAAATACGAGCATCCTTAAATTGCATTCCTACTTGCATTTCGAATTGTATTGAGCAAGCTTTATTTGTGTATTAAACTGCAATGGAAGATGATGTAATACGTGGTGACAGCGCTTGGATCCCTGTATTTTAAGTGTAGTTGCTTTCAGCGCCGACATCCCAGTCGCGGCTTCCCGATATGTAGCGCGCCTTATCGATAAGAAGAAAATACAAACAGCACTAATTATGCCGAAGGACGACGTCAAAGCCAAAAAGAAGGAGCCACCCGCAGCAAAGCGACCTTCCTTTTACGCAGCATTCCTTTATTTACCGTCTACCATACGAACCCCCTTTTTCCGCGCGACGTCCTCTCTTCAACACGAACGATCCAACCCCCGACATCTCGAACGCTCCACCGTCCTCTATGGCTCGAGCACCGTTATAGCAGCCGACTGCGCCGCGTGCAACAATGCAGAGGCTACGGCCGCTACTCAGCAGCGGCCGACCAGTACCGCCCAGGTCAGCCGCCGGCCGATGTGGTGACGGCCTCGGCCCTGCGTCGATAGGGTGTTTGCAGTTACGATTGCTTGCACAACGCTCCTTCGACCGTCGCAGGCCAGAGACGACTCTCAGCCGTCGCTTCAGCACGAGCCGCAGCGTCTTCGCCGGTGCGGCAGAGCAAACCAAGGCTGACGTTGTCTCGTGGGTGGAGCTTGCTAAGGAGCGGGAAGAACGGAAACAGCGAGACATTGAGGAGCAGAGGCGCCGTGAGAATGGCGAGGTGCTCGAGAGCACCAGCACCAGCGGTGTGCCGCAGCCGCCTCCATCACCAGGCGCCACGCTGCTGAACAGCCTCGCAGGCGAGCCCATAGTGCCCCGTCCCGCCAATCTGTCGGTCTTGGTCGAACCTGCAATGGACTATGAGCATCGCAGCGAGACATTTCACAGTCGGATGCGGCACGGGAAGTCGGTTTTCCGGCAGGAGCGGCTCGAGGTGATCCGGCAGGCGCAGCTGCGGCCGCTGCCCGACTGGCGGGTTATTCTCCAACGGCTGGCGGCGGCCACACCAGGAAAGGACGAGCTGTTGGTGCCAGGCGTGGGTGGCACTGTTGTGGCACCACGGCTTGCATCCGGGCTGACGCCATCCCAGTTTGTACAGCTCTACTCAATGAGCCGTACGGCGTCTCCCCTGGCACCACTTCTACAGCAGCAGTTGCCGCACCAGTCCGGAGCACCGGGCACCAAGCCGCAAGCAGGGCAGTATCGGCGGAACGCTGTGTCTCTTGCATTTCCAGGAGACAGCCCGTTTATCCAGGAGCTGCTGCATGGCGTCGACGGGACGCTCTGGAAGATATCAGGGCGCTCCGGTTGCATCCTTCGGTTGTACCGCCGGAATGCGGGTACACTGGGTCAGACACAGTCTGCTGACGATGCGACGGGCACCAATGCTCAAAGACAAGATGCTGACCATTCCTGGCTGCTCACGCTTTCTGGAACAATGCCATCGATCTACCGTGCCGCGAGCGAGGTGACCTTCTTTGCGAAGGATGCCGTGCCCGTGGCAGTGAGCCCAAACGTGCGCCTGGATGATAGACGTGCTGAGCGGTCACCACCACCTTCAATATCACCAACACAGCTGCCGCAACCAGTCAGCAGCCAGGCCGAGAACCAGTCCTCTGAAACCGCCCTAGACTCTACGGCCACTCAGACCTGGAGTCTGGTTTCATCTTCCTACTATCTCGACGACAGCAAGCAGCTCGCCGATTACGTGCTGAGCCCTCACGTTACTGATATCGGCGCCCACGAGATTCCACGGCCAGAAGTGTGGACGCGCGAATCGTTTGAGCGATATGTAGCGGCGCTTGTCAACGGCAGGCCGCCGGCACACCTTGCCCCGCAGCTGTATCCCCAGAGCAGCAGCTGGTCAAGGAGGCAGAGCACGGATAACGACGATGAACATGGCAATCATGCTGACGGCCAGGCCCAGGGCCAGGACACTATCGCCACGGCCGATGGCAACCCAGTCCTCAACAGCCACGACCGCACCGTGGCCGATCTGCTACACTCGCTTTTCGATGACGATGCTGTCAGGGACGTGCTGTCCCTGTCGGCTTTCAAGCTAGCCCTGGCGTTTCTCAGCAAGCACGGCGAGACTTACCGCCCCGAGGCCCGGGCACTCTTTGTGCGTGCCGAACGGCTTCGTCTGCGTATGGACACGGATACGTTCAACATCCTGCTTGCCTCCGTGGTCAAGACGCAGGACCTGCGCAACTTTAGCTCGACTCTGGCGCTGATGGAGAACCGGGGACACATGCCCAACCTGACGACGTGGGTGCTGTTCCTCCAACTGTTTGAGAGCGAAGAGGTGAAGCGCCACATCTTGCACGCAATGCAAGCCCGGGGCGGCTTGCTCGACTCCCCCGAGGCGCGGCAGTGCATCGCCCAAGAAATGGCCGAGTACGATGTCTTGCGGGCTATCGCCGAGCATAGGCAAGAGCAGAGGAAAAGGAGGGAACAGAACCAAATCTACAACGACGACTACAACGCGGCCGCCTTTTTCGATGACTTTATGGCGGGCCAGGCCGAGCGCTACGGCTCGGACTGGTTGACGCGGCCGGCAGCCAACCGCATCCTCGAAGTCTTTGCGAGCCACAGTCGGTTTGCGGAGTGCCAAGAGATGCTCGGTATCTTGACACGGAAGCAGGATTGGCGTGACCGCGTTGAGCAGGTCAAAGCCCAGGAAAAGCAGCAGCAACAGCATCTTCTGCAAGAACAGCAACACCAGCAGTCGCTGTCACCGCAAAATGAGCCATCCAACCTGGTGGCCGCCCAGGCGCTCAACACAATCAGCTTCAATATCGTTCTGACCCACGCCAAGCGGCAGTTCAAGCTGCGCCATGCACTCGCCATCCTCCGGCAAATGGATGCCGTCAGTGATGGTGTCGTTAGAACACGAATCGACAACGAAGCCGACCAAGACCAAGCACAAGCTCCGGTCGAGACGACCACACCGGCCACGGTCGCAATTACCCGATCGTCTCCCAGCACCAGAGCCGTGCCCGCAGACAGTGTCACCTACCATCTGCTCCACGAAATGGCGTACCACCGCCGCATGTCCTACGCAATGGGCGCAGTCTGGGTCTATGCCAGCATCTTGCGTCGCACCAACCACTGGATGAACAAGAAGGCCGGCCGTGTTCTGGCGGGCGATACGGGTCCGCAGACGGCGCACCTTGTCAAAGTCCTGCGCGGTGAGTTTGGGGGCCAGGATGGCCACCACCCTGGACGGGACCGCGCTTCCTTTGCATCCATAGGCGCTGCCGCGAGTGCGCGCTGGGCCTCGTACTATGATGGCTGGGAGCCGGCATTGCCTCTGAGCCAAGTTCTCGAGGAGGCACTAGACCGTGACAATGCGCTGCTCAAGGACCGTTTCGACCAGGGTGTCCTAGATAGCGAAGAACGACACGGTCGAGATGGCCGGCCGCCGCCGCCGCCACTACGAATTCCGCTTCGCCGGAAACTGGTCACGCGCGGCAAGAGCAGAGGCGCGAATAGGAGCAGGGGCCCCGAATACAGTCCACAGGGCGGGCCTGCTTATGTCGAGATCCAGCCCGACTGGCTGCCCCCAAAGAAGGAAACCAAGACCTCCAAGCAGCCCAGAACCACCTCGAGATGGTGAGGCTGCACACGATTTCGTGTCAATTCCATGTACATATCATAGACACCAAACCCCGCACTTTGCATCATTGTTATGGCGTCAGGGGACCATATAACTTCCAATCTCTGTGTAATCATGAAGTCGCTTTATTTTGTATACCAATACCATTCATCACCTGCTGGACTTTTGTACCTTTATACGTTTCTACGACTTTAAACTTGCTCTTCATTTTAGATGACCTAAGGTGTATATGCGTTTATTTATATTGTTGACAAGTGTAATATATCGGTCATGTCACGTCATGTCTTGGAGTGTCTTTGCATCGGTTTTTGTCGTTTAGTAGTAAACCTCGTTCATGTCCAAAACAACCTATGTTCGCTTTTTTGCAAAACTTCTTTATTACTCTGTTATATGTTTTTCTTTAGTTTTGATGCTGTCCACGCCAACCAGCCATGCTGCCACGCCGCTCCATTTGAACGCCACGCTGCTTCTGCGGTTTGCAATCCATGTATGCTTCTCGAATGGCCGTCGGAAGGGAAATTCGGTAGGAGTCCGGAGAGGAATAAAGAGAGACAATGAAGTATGACCAATGATGGGCTCGATTTATATAAAGTGAAAGCAGGCAAGAAATAATGATTTCGAGTCGAGCAAGCACAGGCAATATAAAACACGTATGCGGCAAGCAAAAAGGCGACAAAAGGGCCATGATATAAATGACAGGGCAAAATCAAAAGCAATAACAAAGATATAAAAACCCCACAGACACAAGAAAAGAAAAATGAACAAAAAATGAAGGGGACAAAAAAGGTTACACATAAAACAGACACAGAAACAAAAAAGACGCGTGACCTCTTCTCTTTTGGATCCTCGCCACAATTATAAAATGACAGCACACCAGATGGTTGAATTCCAGCCGGCGAGTACCAAGATAAAGCGGCGAGGGGATCTCCGGCTCGTCCGTGAACCATGAACATGCGTTGTTAGTCCGGCCTTCGGTCCAAAAACGTTTGAGAGGGCGAGGTCGAGCTAGATGACAAGACCTGCAGGTAGTTGTAGTTGTTTGCTGCTTGAGGAAGTACTACAATACAGCCGCCTTGTCATGGCCCGTTCTCGTTCTTTCTCGTCACAGATACTTTATTCCATTCGCTGTCCGGACAAATACCTACTTGGCGGATGCATCAGCGGCAGGCGCCTCGGCATCCGCTGGCTTTGAGGCTTCTGTTGTCTCGGCACCACTGGAACTGTCCTCCACCTTGACTGCGGCGCCATCTGCGGCACCCTCGCTCTTCACGTCGCTCGCCTTGGTCTCGTCCGTCTCATCGTCCGACGAGGCGGACGCCTTGGAGACCTGGCTATCCAGGTCTTTGTCTTCACGGTCGAACATCTCCGTATCGTCCGAGTCAGTCAGGACCTCGGAACCGTCGCCCAAAAGAATTATTCTTCCCCGGTTGCCGCCGATGCCAAACGATTGTGACCGGTGGTCAGTCTCAATGTCGTAGCCGCTGTCGCTGTCGTCGAAGTTGTGGTGAACGCCCGGGCCGCGAAACTCCGCTGCAGAAAAGAAAAACGCAAGAAGTTAGCTCGAGAATGGGACACAGCGGTGTGTTTGCTTTCAAAGTTCGATAGGTCGCAACTCACCATACTCGGGCGGGGCACACGGACCATCGCCATCAGCCACCCGCCGGGCGATCTCCTCGTACCACTCCTCCTTTGTCTTGCCACGGAGGATACCGACAATGGACATGGTCATGTTGTCGCAGCCTACGCCGCCGGTCTCAGAGTTGGAGGCAAGGCAGTTGTCCATCATGTTTTCGCAAATCTTGTCGAGGTCCTGCTTTGCGGCAATACCGCGTCTGACGAACTCGACAACAGCCTGCGAGGACTGGCAATCCCAAATACCTTTTATGACGTGTCTTATTAGCATTCTAGCCCTTTTGCCTCTTATTTGGTTTCCGGTTCGTTCTGCTTCTTTCTGGACCTACCGTCGCAAGCAATGACGAGGAACTCATCGTTGTCCGTAAGGTCGTGGACGGTCACGTCGGGATACGCAGTGACAATCTGAAGCTCGGGAGACAGCTCGGCGCTCTTCTTGAATTCGAAATCGCCAATCGCACGGGACAGGGCAAGGTTGCCGTTGACACGACCAAAGTCGACGAAGCCGCCGGCAGCCGTGATGCGCGCCTTCTCACCTATATGGGGGGTAAAAGCAAACGTCAGCAAGAGCCTTTTGCATGTGCGTCTTGGTACATGCAAAAGAAAATAACTACGGAACATACCGTCATTCTGTGGCTTGTGGTCGAACGACAATGGCTTTGCACGACCCTTGACACCGAGAACGGCTCTGGAATCACCGGCATTGGCCTGGAAGAGGGGGCCACGGGTCAGCAATCCGCTAGCAGGCCATAAGCGCGACTCAGAAAAGGGAAATGAAAGACGGAAACTCACGCAGTAGATTTTGTCGTCGGTGATGAGGCCGACGCAGGCAGTGCAGCCCGATACCTCCTCCTCATACCTAGGGTCTGCAAACGCTGGGTCAGAAATATTGAATCACCAAGACCCTAGGGGCCCGGAACAAGGCGTGTTGTCCCCTCGTCGGTGCTCCCCCTCTTTTCGTTGGACATATAAATTCATACCGTTTAGGATGGCTCGGTCAGTAGCCAAAAAGCCGTCCTTGAGGGCTTGCTCGTAATTGCTTTTCTTAAAAGACTCTTGTTTGGCGACGATTTTGTGTACGTTCTCTCCAGCGAACAGGGCTACTTTATCGCCTCCATGGCCATCGTATACACCGAAAAAGCTGATTTTCGAGGCGTGGGACTTGGCGGCGAGGGGGAAGTTCTGGAGTAGGTCAAGAACAGTGGTGTGGGCGTCTTCCATGCTGATGCGCCAGCCCTGCATGGCCGACACGCCGTAGAGGAGGCGGTCATCTTCGCCCTTGTCGGACGACTATAAGGCACGATGAAAAAACCAATTGTTAGTCATAAAAGCTCTCCAAGTCAACAAGTTTCCGACGCTTCCAAAAGACACGCGCGCGCATTGCAAAAGAAGTGAATCGTCTGTGGTCGTTCGTGGTTGTCGGCGGGGCAGTGAGCGATATGGGGCGCGTGAGCGTCAGAACGGGCGGGGACAGGCGCATGCGAGAAAAAGTAACCCCAGAGATGGCCCTCAATGACGGGTCAACGACGATATCCGGTCATGATCCGCACAAATGATGGGAAAATTAAGGCCAACGCGGTCGGAAACGGTTGTCAAGTTGCGATGTCTGTATGTGCGGCGGCAAGACGTAAAACAGCGTACGAGGGCACAAACCGAGCGTGGGGAAAGTGGCGGCAGTACGGCATCAGTCGGAATGGGCGAGAAACAACATGTGCAAAAGAAGCGCAAATGACGAGTCGTACGGCTGCCTCTGCAACCGAGAATGCCAGAGGCAATGAACGGAACGTACCTTGTCGACGATCGGCTCCGATAGTGTTTGACCCATGGTGGACGACGCGCTTGTGCGAAATTGAGGAAGATGAAGACGGAGAGAGGGGCTCCTGGGAGCCTGGCGAGAACAAAGATGTTAACGGTGTGCGGGGGAGGTTCCTTGTCCTCCTTGCTTGTGGATGAGCACGGAGGTTGTGGTTGCGGATCGGGGGCCGGAGCAGGACGAAAGGAGAGAAACGCGTCGCGGAGGCGAGATACGACGAGGGGTGAGGTTCTGGCTGGCGGAGAGACGGAGGGGTGGACTCACAGGTTTTGGGTGGACCGTGAGGACGGATGAGGGTTCTGAGGAGAAAGGAAGTGCGGTTTTGTGGAGTGGTGTATTTTTTCGGTTTTAATATTAGGGAATTTAATGTTTTCTCTACCCCTTGTCTAATTTGGTGGACGGTGGCAGGCGAGAAGAGTTTTTCTTGTCCCTCGCGGCTAACAATGACGTTGGGGACTTTGGGCGCGGTGACCCTTGTGGGATTGGCTGGTGTTGTTAGCAGTGTTAGGTTAGGCTGGCGCTGGGATGGCGAGCGAGCGGGGTCAGCAGACAACCGAGCGAAGGTCAAAAAGGTGTATCAATGCCGCCCGAGTGCGAAGACGATCGAGCTGGATGGAAGCAGTCAGCAGGCTGAGACGAGTCAGAACAAAGCAGGAGAAAAACACAAGAAGCACAAGATGACGAGAACGAGAAGGGCAAGGACATTGGGGTGTGGAGTGAAGACGAAGAGGCAAGCGATCCAGGCGACAGGCAGATACTGGACCAGTAACGCAGGCAGACGTGCTCGCAAAAATCCAGGAAGCAGCAGAACAGTTCATGAAGAAAAATAGGGGAAGAGTTCGTCAGGGCGATGCTAAGCAGCGACCCACAAGAGCGACAGGCTTGTGGATGACGAGGCTATTGGGAATCCCGGTCTGGCCTGGCCGAGATATGCGGGCGTGGGGCTCTGAGACTCGACTCACGGAACAATGCAGCAGGAGACAGATGACAGCAGATGTAAAAAAAGCTGAAAAATTATCTTGCGGGTAGTGCAATTTCAGGATCGGTGTGTTGCCGCTTCTGGCAGGTCTCAGCCTGCTCCCATATGGTCGTGCGGATGCGAAGAGTGTCGTGCGGTGGCTCAGTGAGATTCAGTTCTCCTGAGCTGTTGAATGCGCCGTCGAAACAAAAGGGGCTCGAGAAATGATGTCAACTCTTGCGTGGATTCGTATAGCATAGACTGTAGCAAGCAACGGTTGGGTGGCAAGACTGTCTAAATACCATGACAGATATCCTCGGGCAACAGGCTGGTGTAGGTCCGACGATATTTGAGCCTGAGGCCTAGCCAGTGAGCGCTGAGGATCTTGGAGAGGGAGAGTGAAGCTCTCGCCAGGACAGAAATTGGTAAAGGGGTAAATCCACGATGTGATGCCCCCAATATGTTTTGCGGGGAAGGGGCTACGGAGTGTTTTGTGTTTACAGTTTACATCGCCGGCAACATGCCAAAAACAGAAAGCGAGAGCATCAGGAAGGCCCGATGCTGGTCGCGTGTTGGCTCCTGCCTTTGATACAACACAGAATGAGCTGCCACAATGGCGGGATGGAGGGGTGGACGCACAAGCCAAGCGGCCAGATCTTTCTAATGTTTGCGGCATGGGCGGGTGGGTGGCGCTTTCGTGTGGGGACTTGATCTGGACTGGCTTGGCCTTCCCTCTTGCCCCTGGAGAAGCACATTGCATGCATTGTCCGCCACAGTGACACAACCCAGTACTGCTACATAGAGTATGCGCACTTATACGCCGGTATATATGTACTAATACTTGTCTACCAAATCGACCTCGCCCTACACCGAGTATTATCAAGCTGTGATAGCTTCATCCGCAGTGCCCGAAATATATAACAGATCTGTTCTTTAATATATACGTTTGCAACGCAGACCTTTTCTATCATTTCAAGTCATACAAACCGTCGACGCATCCAGCCTGCAACACAATATCTCGCGTGTTCGACAACCCTGCACTCGGCTGGAAAAATAAATCCCAGATGAACTTCTTTAAATACTGGCAAGATGTACAGTTTGGCGCCTCCTTTCCTTGGACTCTAAATAGGATACTGCTTAGACGACTTGTAGAGGGTCTGCAGACTTACAGTGAGATGACCGTATTGCCAGATGGTGATGCCGACACAAACAGCGATGTGGCCGAGCTGTGCCGATGTGTTGTACACGACCACTCTGCGTATCTTTTGAGATCTGAATCTGAAGAGGAGTATACAGTTGTCGAAAATTATGTCACCAGAGAAAGCCGGACATATGTGCGGATACTGTCAAGGAGGAGAAGGAAGCGGCCGGCCAGGTTTTCACATGGTCAGGTCCTCTTGACCGGAGAGGATTTGAAACCAGTCTGTTCGCCCTAGACGAAAATAGATGCCCATGGTACTGGAATACACGGGAAGATCCTGCCACAAACATATCAACGGCCCTGGACGTATCAGCTTCTAGTGCGGCCTTGATCCCTCCGTCCACCGATATCATTCAGTACGTCATATACAGCAGCGTGACGTCGAAGGCGACGTTTTCATAGTCGCCTTCATTGTCGATGAGATAGCAGCAGCCGCCGGCACAGGCAGCTGGCAAGAGGAGTTGGCGACTGAGTCAAACACAAAACCATCGACATACTCGCTTTCCCCAGCGCCATTTGTATCCTTTAGTGATGCTACCTCGGCGACTGGTAATTTGTTCCGAAAGGGAGGGCCTTGAAAGTGGGCGAGATATAAGGGCCGAGTTCGTGGCCTGGTGACAGTTTCGATAGACACCTGGAATAAATGGCCACAAAAGGAAACAAACAAGAAAAGCAGGGCTCAAGTAGCATTGCCTGTTCGGCACCGTGACCAAAATAAAATTACAAAAAATCACCTTCCAAAATATTGCATTGGGTGAGATTTGCTCAAATGGGCAACACGGCTGCTTTGCTACATGTGCACGAATGTTGAACTCGAAATTTAGATCGAACACATGTGACCAAGAACGATAAACTCGTGTCAGATAGAATGGAAGAAGCCATCGGCCAGCTCAAGGCGTTTTGAATGACGCCCCCAAAAAGATAAACCTCTAAGTACACGTTAAAACCGTGAGGAAAATAAAAATAAAACGCAGAGGGAACGATAAGAAGGGAACAGGAAAAAGTCTATAGAAAACGGGCACGAACAAACAAACAGCCGTAGTAGATATCGCATCGACAAAAAGCTCAGAGCGACCAAAACTAAATTACTCCCGGGAAATATCACGACCGAACAGCTTCGACTTGAACCAGTCGTTTAGCACCAGCAGACGGTTGCGTGTGCTGAAGACCATGGACAGGTAGGCGGAGCGCCAGAAGTAGTAGGTCATCGTTCCACCCGAGGCAACGTTGCCGTTGAACCAGCTGACATCAGCAACAGCCTTCTCGCTGCCAATGTAGGCGAGACTACCCTGGTGCGAGTAGTGGAAGGGCTTGATGTCCTTGACGCGCAAAAGCTTGCGCTCCGTCTCCTCAATCTCGCGGCTGACGGCGGCCGAGTCAACGCCAGGCTTCAGGTTCAGCGACGAGCTCAGGGTCTGAATGCGCTCCTCGAGCGCGGCCGTCTTGGCCATGTTGTTGAACAGGCGGGCAAGGAAGTTGCCCTCCTGCGACGCGACCTGGGCGGTTGGGGCATAGCCGGCCACGGCGCAGTCGCCGACGGCCCAAATGTCACGGGCACCCTGCACCACAAGGTACTCGTTGACGGCCAGGCCGCGGCGCGAGTCCTTCTGGGCGGGAATGCTCGACATCATGTCGCGAACGAGCGGGCGCAGGGTGTTACCGGTGGCCCAGACGAGCAGCCCGTAGGGGAAGGTGACGCGCTCCTTGGTGCCGTCGGGCTTGGAGACCTCGGCCTCGACAGCCTTCTCGGTCACCTTCTTGACCATGGTCTTGGTGTGGATGGCAATCTCCTCCTCCTTGAATGTGCTCTCGGTGTACTCGATCAACTGCTTAGAGAAGCTCGGCAGGACGTTGGGAAGGGCCTCAATCAAGGTCACACGGAAGCGGTCGGCAATGTCGGGAATCAGCTTGCGGATGTCGTCCTCGAAGAAATCGCGGAGCTCGCCGGCGAACTCGACGCCCGTCGGGCCACCGCCGACGACAACCATGTGCAGCAGGCGGTCAATCTCAGCCTCGGGCTGGTCCTTGAAAGCGGCAGTCTCGACGCAGTCCATGATCTTCTTGCGAATTTGCTGGGCATCGCCAATCTCCTTGAGGAAGCACGAGTTCTCGCGCACGCCGGGTATACCGAACGTGGCGTTCTCAGCCCCGACACCAACAACGAGCATGTCGTAGGGGACCTCGGTCTCGCTGGTATCGCCGCGAATGTCAGAGTTGTCGCGGATCTTGACAATCTTGCGGGTGACGTCAACGGAGCTCGCCTCGGCCTCGTAGAAGGTCACGGGGCCCTTCTTGGAGCGGCATATAGTGCGGATGGGCTCCATGATGGAGCGGTGCTCAATCAGGCCAGTGGTGCAGGAAGGAAGCAGAGGGGTGAACAGGAAGTAGTTGCGAGGCGAGATGACAACGACGTTGTAGTTTTCGGTATCGAGCTTCTTGAGCAGAGAGACAGAGCCCCAGCCGGTGCCTATCCCAAGTTAGTGATGCACAATCAGGGCAGGGGCAGGGTCAGGGCTAGACAACGCACCCAGAATCACCAGCGTCTTCTTGCTAGGATCGCGAGCCACCTGCGGCTCAGGGTTGCGATCCTGGTAGACATCGTAGCCGACGTAGACGATGCCGCCCAGCAGGGAGATGTAAGTCAACCGCCAAATCCAGCGGAACGCCGACCGCACCTTGCTGCGCTTGGGCGCAGGTAGATCACCCCGGGCACTGGAAGCCTCGGACGCATATTGTCTGGCGAATTGGCGCGACAGCGCAGCACCGGGCAGGGCAGCACCGGCGACGCGGCCGCGAGTCGCAGCCGAAGACCTTTCAGACCGCAGTAATGGCGACGCGGTAGTGTTCGTCGTCGTGGCTATCCGGCGAACCTGCTGTCTCGGCTGCTGGAGCTGGTTGAGCTTGAGCAGCTGCGCGCTCAGCGGGCGCGAGCTTGCTGGCCGGCTCAGAGCTGGCGCGAGAGTCGCCATTTTTCAGATCAATTGGGGACGTAATTGACGATGGAAAAGTGGCGCTGGGAAAGGGAGGGGGGAAGAGAAAGGAGCAGAGAGGGGAGGGAGAATGGTCACTACAAAGTGACGAGGTAGGACCGGTTGATAAGAAACAGTTGAAAAGGGGAGCGCGACTGCACCTGCTTTCTGAGCCAAGAAAAAAATCCATGAAAGCCGGCAGCCGCGACCCAAGAAACAAGAAAACCGCGCTAATAAAAAAAAATAGTTTATTCGAATACCAGAAGCTAAAATCCGATCTCAGCTCTTTTTTGCCTTTTTGGTCAGCGAGCAAATACGTTCTTTGGTCCGACTTCATTCTTTGCCTCCGCGTCAGACTCTGGCAGTAGCGCATAGCAATTGGACGGCGGCGCCCTGTTCGTGTTAGCCCCTTTCATTGATGACACAGATTTTTTTCAGAGGTTTTTGGTTTTTGAGGTCGATGTTTATTGCGCCTTCCTTTAAGCGCTTTCCTCAAGTTTGTGACGTGAAGGCAAGAGCGAATGTTTTTTCAGCAATGTTTACACATGGATGGATCAATCTGCGTCTCTTTTTCTGTTTCAGGCAGGCTCCACGCCGTGACATCCACCGAAGCTCCAATTGCCAACTCACGCAGTACGGCCCGTGTGAACAACAGGAAAAAGGCAACGCCGATAGCTAGGGCTGCGCCAAATGCTACAGGGCCTATTTTCGTGCAGATGTCACAAGCGAGCGAGCAACAGGTTAACAGCCGCCTCTGTTGGAGACCGTGCGGGCGACAAGCGGCCAATCTATTCTGTATTGTTGGCAGCTTTTCCGTCTCCTGCATATGGGTCCGCGTCGGCATCCGTGCACAATTTTAGCTTGTGAAAAATTAGGGAAGGCACCACCCAGCAAGGGTGTCCGAATTTCCGTAAAAAATGCGAAATCCGCTTATAGAATGACGCTTTGCAAGAGAACCAGGAAGGCGCGGCCTTGTTTGACTACTGGCCCAGACCGTTGTCTCCGAATATTCATCGTCCGTTGTGCGACGTTGATACTGCACACATGTATGGTGTAATTACACTGGAAAGCGCAATCCTCGGACGTATGGACAAGCGCCCCTTGCACGTTCCTTTCCGCCGTTCTGTCTGCGAAAACACCCGAATGCGCCTTCCGTATCTTCACGAGCCTGTTCACAAGCAAGGAAAGAAGGAAGACAGGAAAGAGCGAAGCATATGCGAACATGTGCGGCCCTGGCTCGGGCAGTAGAGGGTAGAGTGGCATGAACATCTGCCAAATTTCACGTGGGGGAGGGGATACGAAGCTACATCGTAGACTGGGCAAATCTCAAAAAGAGAAAGCGGCAATCGACCACCAATTGCTCCTCACCGGCCTTCCTCCGAGTCTGACCTACGATGCGCCCGGACTGCCGCCATTCAACGAACGGGCCTGGGAAGAACATAATCAAAAGTTACGCGAAATAAACGGGGTATTGGAGCAAAAAAAAAATTGACAGCTGATGGATCCTTTCTTGGCCGACAGGGCTGAAGTGCCCAAATATACCGCAATTGTGAGAACATAAATGTCGCTGCAAATGAGCGTTAGAATAAGAGACAGGCCAAAAAGAGAGAGAAAGTGGCCAATTCCGCGTAGCCGCAACGGTCGCCGCAATTCTCGCTGCGATATCGGGTCCGTCACGCGTCGTTCCGCAGCGGTCGCCCCGGCACGCGCATTTTGTGCGAAATGAGGTTCAACGGCGACAATTTATGAGCATTTAGTTTTGCAATGAGAATTGATTTGATATTGTGAAAAGGTCGAGGATTTGCCCAAACCGCCGGGTTTCCCAGTGGATACCTCCGCGAGTGAGGCCTTTCTAGTGAGGCCTTTCTAGTGAGGCCTGAAGGCCTGTCTGTTGGTCGTGCCCATTTGTCGACGGCGGTGATAATTCTCTTTCCACGTACCGTAAATTGTCCATGAAACAACGACGCACAGCCAGCCTTGTTTTTCAGTGTCGACCGAGACACTTAGCAAAGCTTTATTGTACGATGGTGAACCTGCGAGTGAGGTGTGTTTAATGTATATTACGTCTACTTGTTGTGATCAAACCTGTGTGTTTCCAAGTTAAAGCAGAAGCTGCTCGAAACAGAAAAAGGAAACATATGACTAGGCACGACAGACAACGAACTGCATCCGCACTTGCAAAATAGCATAACTACGACTCTAACTTCAATGCTATGATGCAAACAATGTCGTATTCATGCGAATGTCAAAAGGCCAAGACGGAATCACGACAGTTGGCTCTAGTTTCGTGTCCAAAAGATGGCATGTAGGTGATGGCCGGGTTCGATAAGCCGTAAGACACATTGCCCGGGATATTGGGACAAGGGGTCGCGAGTCTCTGAAGACAGCAATACGTCGATGAGGCTTTCCTTAACGGTTGTTTGGTGCCCCGGAATTGGAGTTGTCGATATCGGAGATTGGAACCGTCTCCGCCGAACCACAGTGCATTTGACGGTAAAATGAAGACCCTTTGAAATCCAGCCCGGGAAATTGTCCACCTAAATAGCTATTTGTCGGGCATTGGTAGATATACCCGGTCTGACTTGCGTTCAAACATACACCACTGAACTATGTCCGGTGTGCCGTTGTCGTCGTACTCGATGAATAAAGTATAACCCGTATATCGTTCGAGATACGCGGAATAAGGGACCGGTACCATATCTGATGACCGGATATATACTGTCGCTGCAAAACACAAAACATCACGTACCAAGAAGTCACTTCATAAGAAAACGTCACATACTCGTACTGTAGTCCCGTCAATACGGTAGCTTAATGTGACTGAGAAAACTTCGAAGCTCATCGTGCAACCTTATTGGCTTCTAAGGTGAAAGTGATGAGGTGAACTGAGAACAGCCGCCGTGGATGAAAGACGGACCGGACTTTGGACTCTTGAGGGAGGAGGCATCATAGAGCATATAACCGCCCGGTCCAGGTTCGGACGCTGTCACGGAATGGCTCGGCATATATGTATACTCGTTTTATGTTGTTAATACGACACTTATGCTAGTTAATCGAAACCCCAAGTAAGTGAGAAATCACCGGGCCCCTTATATGGGCTTCGGCGACCTGTTGTGACATACTCAGAGTGAGCCTTGCTACACACAATAGAAAAAACAACAGAAGAAGGTCGAGGGACGCTTTTGGACAAACATATACTTTTGTAGAGAGAGAGAGAGAAACATTAGACGTTGACGACTGGGGAATACCGAAAGCACCTTCAACTCAAGTTTGGTCCATCTGACCTAACCCGCAGCCCTCTTGATAACTAATCAAGGGTCATATGAGGAGACGTGATGTACCGGAGCAGAGTGACCAAATGATCCGGATGACTCTATCTTCTTTTAGGCTTTTCTTTCAGTATTCTGAGTCTTGGTATTCAAAGGAAATGTCTTGGCCGGCTCCTAAGACGACCTTCGATGGCGCATAACGCGGGCTATATAAAATAATCACGATCCAGTCCTCACACCCACTGCGACGGTCTCACCTGAACCGCTCTTACTTTCTGTTATTTCTAACTCCGCCTTTAACAATTATCCGTACTCCTGGACCAAAGCTGATGGCGTCTTTCAAACCTACTGATCGACTAAGCTTCACACCTCTATATCTCTGCTTGAAATTTGAGCATCAGACGTAATCTTTCTTCCCCCCTCTCTGTCTCCTCGCACGCAAAAAGATGCGGTACAAGGGGGATCAGCCACCTCCGACAGGGCAGTCCAAGCCCAGACATGGCAATCCTTGGTACATGCCATCCTGGTGGCTTTGCTTCTTATACTCTAAAACCATACAGAAGCCAAGCCTTTCACAAAAGCGCAAAGAAGCTTTGTCATACCATGGGACGGACAGGACGACGCAGTATCTGGACTAAAAGTACAGACTGCAAGTAGATGGCCATATCAATCACACAAATACATGGCTTGCCGAACTCCGAAGCTTGGCGTTTTTATCCCCCCACGAAGTAACGAATCTTCTCCAGAAGCACATACCCCCTTGTTTGGTGTTCTGCGCCTCTTTCCCAATAAGTTTTATAAAATGTAGCTTAGCCAAATCGTGCACAACGAGATAAAGCATACTTGCCACAATTTCCGGGCGTCTATGAGTCAAAAATGCCGTTAATTTCGGTCAATATTGCGTTATTATCGACTTTTTAAAACGGGCCATTTTGCTGCTCGTTCTCGCTACTGTGGAATTGACGCCCTCGTAGTCTCATGTTGTATCCTGAGCTTCATGATGCGAAGCTGACCATGAAGTACTCCGTAATGCAGATTCAGATCAGGAAGACAAGAAGACGAGACGATGAGGTGAAGATATGTGGCTGTGGGGTAGAAGCCATTAGGGTCGCTGTTTCCGCTTCCGATCTCTTTGCTCGGTGGGGGGCAGGAAAGGTTGCCAGCAGTTGTGAGGTTTCGCCAGTCGTGGCTGATTGCCGTATTGGGAAACAAACACGGTCGTGATTTCCCCAACTTCCGCTCCATACTTGAGGGAAAGAACATTTCACGCAAACCCAGGAAAAGGAAGCCGCGGCCAGAAATGCTTAATATTAACGATTAAGTTTTGATTAGTCTACATGATTGCACCTGCCGTTCTTTTGTTTTATTTGGCCGAATCTGTCATTCAAATGAAAACATCGTCGCTTTATGTTCCCGTCCTGCAAACTTGCAAAATACAACAAAGCGTCCGTCGGCCCCTCATTCGCAAACCCCGGTCACCTTCAACGCCCAGTTCCAGAAGTTCCCCGTCCCCTGGCCCTTGGGTCCCTGTCCCGTTTTCCGCAATTGTCCAGCACAACGGGACAGTCCGAGTGCATGGCCCCCTGTCCTGCTGTTCGCCTCTGAAACTTGGTCTGAGACGTCAGCGATCCCCTTTTTGCCAGACCAGACCAGGACACCGCCAGCACCCAGCACAATGAACCGTACCGCATTGCGTGGTTCGCGACGGGCGCAGTCCTGGTCCGTCCAGGTCGCAGCAGCGATTTGCTGCATCAGAACGTTTTCAAGAGTGACACCTCCGTTCATGCAGCGATCCAAGCCGCCCCCGGGCATCGAAACCTGGCAACAGACCATCAGGAGGCCAAGCAGCCAATCAGTTCCGACCTTTGCCATGTGCCTTGCTTTCTTCCTCGACGTCCCACACTTTCGTCTCCAATACATAATCTTTGCTCGCCTGCATCCTTACCCACGATTGAGTTGCGCGTCGATGAGGCGTCCCGGCCATTTCAATGCTACCCACCACGGCAACTGCTCCTGGTGTCTGGTACTGGCTCGGTGTACTGCGGAAAGGACGGCTGAGAATGCGAGGACGATGGATGCCAAGACCTAGATGTATGTTGGAAGTGGAAGATGCTCAAGTACGACGGACAAGCTTGTTCACTGGTGCTTCCCTACTAACTTTGTCTGCTCATTTTCAGTTCAACAAGTCCAGCTAAGGAAAAGAAAAATCATTCGTGGTCGTCACGTCGTAACAAGTGCAGTTGCAAAAGAAAACACAAGCAAAACAGACGTGGGCTCTTCCCATTCTCCAACCAAAGGTGCCACACCAGGCTCTTCCGTACAATTTCATCGGTGCCGTGCCATGCACAAGTGGAGCACGGGAGGATGTTGAACACACATTCGCACACGACATTGCCAGCCTGGAACTGGGCTGGAACTGAAGCCCAGACCCAGACCCCTGCAACGTCCCAACCGCTCCCGCATTTTGGTGCATGTATGACATATCCACCAGAACTACGATACACCGTTTTCTCCACAGCCTGTCACTTGTCCGTCTTCGACACATTTGACGTTCTGCTTCTGCAGACGAAGCATGGCAGTCAGCAAAAAGGACGTGACAGCCGTGGGCTTCACGACGAGCAATGAGGAACATGGGGCATCCCTGCCTAACAAGTCTATTCTGCTTTTGCACTCATCTGTTGTTCGGCGTCTTTTGGGAGTAAAAGTCTTTTCACAGTGATCGCCATGGCCATCATGTGGCTCTGCTGGCCCTCGTTGGCCTTGCTCATCCGTGAGTTCAGATTCCATGCCGCATGCGAGTGTGGAGTGTACCGATCGGTCACGCCTTCCACTCTGTGTCTCGTCAGTACCGTACATTATCTTCGTGCTCCCGGCTATATCCATGGCAGGTCTCGTGCTAGACGTCCCAAGACGCCCGTGTGGTGGATCTCGCTTCCACACATACATACACGCACTCTCTTACTCCCTCCTCGTCGCTCTCTCATACATGAAAGAGTATCTCTTTTCCTCCCTCCACTCCCATTGATCTTCTTTGCCGGGTTAGGGTGATCGCCAAAGCCTGTTACAGTACACAAACCTTCCACCAACATACCTTTCCTGGGGCCGTCTCTTCTTTGTGCCCCTCTGTCCCCCATCTTAGCATTCTTATTACCAGACCCCCCAACTCTGATTCCCTTTTCATGCCGGACCCTGTCTCCTTTTCTTCTTGCCTCTTTCCCTCTTTCCCTTCTTCTCTCTTTTTTTCCTCTTCTGCACATTTTCTATTTGTCCTTTACTCATCTTTGTTCCTTTCAGCAAGGTGCGACTTTCTTTCTTTCTTTTCTTCTTTCTTCATTTTTTTCAGTAAGGCCGGCCTTTTTAATATTCTCTTTTTTTCTATTCTTTTCAGAAAAGCGCTCCTGGAGAACTTCATTTTTTGTCCCCTTCGGTTCTTCTTTGTCTTCTCTCTTCTATTCGCTTTCATTATCTCTGGCGTTCACTTGATTTCTTTCCGATCTGATTTTCGAAGCGACTACTTATATCATCCAGCAGCACTCGAACACAAGCCGCTTCTTACGCCAAGTTTTATATTCAGAGTCCGCGTTCCGCACAAACCCTTCTGTCAACAAGTAAGTAGTCGTTGGGATAGTGAGGCATTCAGATTGTTGAATGCTCCAGCCCGTATCAGCATTCTGGCGACCTCTCGGCTCGGCTAGGATGCAAAGGGGAGAGGGTATGGCACCACTAGATGCAGCGGACGGGCGGCAGATGGATACTTCCAGCAACCAAAACAACAACAAGCGCGGTACATCGTCAGACTCTTCGTCGAATGTAAAGAACAACCGAGCGGCCCAGGGCGGACAGGCAGACGGAAATTCCAAGACCTCCACAGATTTCGGAAAAGGAAAGTTCAGTGGTGGCTCTGGTGGTGGCTCTGGTGGAGGCTCTGGCGGTGGCTCTGGTGGTGGCCCTGGTGGAGGCTCTGGTGGTGGTGGTGGGTTTGGCAAAGGGTTCAAGGGCAACGGAAACAACGATGCCGGAGGTGACAAGACCAGAGGAAGCAATGGCGACAGCAGCAGTACAAATAAGGGAGGTAACAGCGGAGGCGGTGATGGTGGTGGTGGTAGCAGCAACAACAGGGGCGGTGGCAGCAATAAGAACAACAACAGCGACAACAACAACTTTGGAGGCCAAAGTAGCGGCAGCAGAAGCAAGGGCAATAGCAATGGGGGTGGAAACACCAATAATGCTGGAGCCGGCGTTGACGGAAACAACGGCAACAGCAATGGGAACAACAGTGGCAGTTCCAGCAGTGCTGGAAGTGCGACGACCACCACCGCGGCCGGTAGCGGAGATGTTGGGAGCAGTGACAGCAATGGTGCCCAGGAGATTTCGTCAGAACAAATCGACACCACATCCGCACCAACGGATTCACCCGCATCGGAGGCACCATCTACGACGGACGCTCCTACTGTCGTTCTCACAACCTCAACCATTGTGGCAACTGGGACGGTAAGTGCAGCCTGCTGGTATTTGAACTTCACAGAGAGACCAGAGACACAAGATATTGTGTACCGGGCTAACATGGTGATAGGATGCCGTCGTGACCAGTTTTGTGCCGTTGATAACGACCGCAGCAACAACTGAGAGCACTGCCACAACTACCCACAGACCTTTCGCGCCATTTGTCCCCTTTGGGGCCAACTTCCCTGGCTCTGGCAGACCTAGTGACAGGAACGGTCCTGATGACAGAAAGCACAGGGGTGTCAACGGGACCACGGCAGATGACGACGACAGCAATGGTAGAAACGGGAGCGGAAACAGCGGCAGCAACAATAAGGGCAACAACAATAACAACAACAACAACAACAACAACAACAACAACGGTAACAACGGTAACAACAGGGGCAACAACAACAATAACAACAAGGCGTTGGATCCGACGGCCGAAAGGGCATTGATATCTGTTGGCTCCATTGGTATGTTCTCCGTCAATACGGGTCCCAGCTTCATCGTCTTGTGCCTAACAAGAACAGGTGCTTTTATCGTGATTTGCTTTATTGCTTGGCTCGTCTGGAGGGCCTGTAAGAAGCAGAAGCGGGAGAAGTTGCAACGCGGCAATGCCTCAACGTTCCCGTCCCACGATGGACCCTTTTCCACCATTGCTAGACTGCCTCGTCGCATATACGATCGTATTGCCAACAAAATACCCTTTGCCAGTAGGCAGCACAAAGCATGGCAGACGTTAGAAGAGACCAACTCTTCGAACGTGGGGCCCATGGCGGCTAACAATGCGGCTTCTTCGAATATGACCCGCCTGGGTGGACCTACCTACGAAGAGAAAGGTGGTGACACGTTGAGGACCTTCGGCTTCGACAGAGACGTCCCACCGGCTATTCCCTCCCAGGTCTATTACTCAAGCGGATTGGGCTTGGGATTGCAGTTCCAGTCTCCACCAGAACAGGCCGAGGTCAGCAATGCCAACGGGATGCAGGCTGGTATGATGCGGTCGAATACGGGCGCTTCTGTCTTCACACACACTCCAGCAGCGTCGTTCAGCTCGTCAATGGTATCCGGCCAGTCAGGCATGCCAGTGGCCCCACCTTACGTCTTGAACAACGGAGCTGCCAATACGGGCCAGCCAACTGGCTCTGTGATGGCGGTTGACAAGGCTGGCCAGCAGTACATGACGGACGATAATGGCAGCGTGGCGAGCACACTGCGGTCACGCATGCCGGACCCATTCTACAATCAGTCGCAACTGGCACGCCAGCCGTCTGACGCATACGACCCGGCACGGCGGCAAGTCAACCGCGCCTCGGAATTGTCTTCTTTATCATCCGGCTTCGGTGACGGCGAGATCCTGGTGCTGGCATCGGATCAGCAGGCGACGCAGCCCGGCCAAATGCCACTGGCTGCCCAGCGTCCGTCGCGGGCCTCGACTGGCCCACCATTGTCTGCATCAGCTGGCGCAGCTGCGCGACTCTCGTGGATGCGGAAACAGCGCATGAGCCGCGAGACAGTCTACACCGAATCCAGCGAGGACCAGCCGGCAAAGTTCCGGTCCGTCAACTCGTGGGTCAAGCAACAGACGGGCCGCGTGAGACGCGGACAAGCTAGCATTGACATGACGACGAGCGCATCTGCCGGTCGCGACGCGGCAGGCGATGTGGCCTTGGTGGTTGGCAATCAACCTGGCATTCCACACCCCTTACCCCGAGAGCAGCGGTTGACGATGATGGACGACGGCGAAGAGCCACGGCGGCCGGATACCGTCCCGGGAATTCAGATGGCGTAAGCGAGAAAGGAGGAGGAGACATGCATGACGTGGTGGAAATGCCAAAGCTGATTGGAATATCACATTATACCAGGCAAACGAAAGTGATTTCAAAATATCTTTTTCCAATAATATAATTCGTCCAACTTCTCGAAAGTGGCGTTTGTTTTATAATTTCCTTTTTCATTATCTTTCTTTTCAACTACTTTTTATATTTTTTCGTATTTTCGCACCTTTTGTTATTCATTTTTCACGTTCTTCTCTTCTTTCTGGCGTACCACATTTGCAACTATTTGGAGTTTGGGGACTAGGTTTGGGCCCTTCCTGTCTTTCATCCTCGTATACACTCTTTTATTATCTCCATATTTCCCTCGTTTCCTTCCCACAGTGGTTTTTGGGCCTGGCGCTCAAGAAAGCTCATGTCTGCGCAAAACGCGACGCATCTTAGCAGGAGACATCATAGTCGACAAACTTGGTGAACAATGACCATGAAAAATCAGTGGCAACGTATATCTTCAGTACGGATGTGTCACCGTGAAGTAAACCGTACGTGCCGAATAAAAAATAAGAAAATTGCTAGATTATACGAGAATAAAAGCAATTTACAAATTAAGCAAAACCATATGACAAGGAAATTGTCACAAAACAGACGAAAATGTAAAGATTCATGAAATATGAAATATTCTCTTTCAAAATCAAGTAGACCCTTCGTCCCCCCAACTTTCACTTTCGGTGCTTGTGCTTGCGGTCGCGGCCCTTGGTCTCTTCCATAGCCTGCTTGACGTGGCCGTAGAGCGACTTTCCATCAACAACCAGGTTATGCGACTTCTCTCGTTTCGGCTTGGTGTCTTCCGTCTGACCTTTTGTAGACAGCGTTGCCGATGCATCTACACCAAGACCAGCATCGCCACTGTCCATAAGAGTCGACGTGGCAATGGGTGGCACATATGACGACGTCGACGACGGGGAGCCACGGACTGGCAGGACCATCTCCGTGGCCAGTCGCGCTTCAATGTTCAGGCCGAGTAGCTTGGTCTTGTTTAGCTTGCTGACCGCCGCGAGGGCATCGCTGTGCGTATTGAAGAGCAAGAATGCATGCTGGCGGTTTGCGCTTGAGCTTGAGCTTGAGCTTGAGCCCGAACTCGAGGATGGTTGGTGTGGGAAACGCACATCTTCTTGAAGCATGTGCCGGCCGCCCACGGCCGAGATCAGGTAGGATTCGAGCTCTTTGGAGGTTGCATGGCGCGAGAGGTTCTTGACAATGACCTTGGCCGTTTGGGAAACTCCTTCGCCAGTGGCATGACCAGCTTGGTGATCGTACCCGTACCCGTAGTGGCCAGAGCCGCAGTCAACGCCGTGTTGGCCACTGCTGATGGGCGTGTGGTGCGGTTGCCACGATCTGGCACTGCTGCGGGCGCCTTCATACGGCTGGTACGAGTTGAAGCTCGGGGGCATGGCTGTCACAGTGTGGGATACTGACTCCGCAGGGTATGGATAGCCCGACGAAGACGAGGCACCGCTGCTATAACCGGAATCATAACCATAGCAGGCGTTGTACTCGACAGGCGCTGAGGTGCTCCCGTTGGCCGTGGCGCAGTAGCCGTAGTCAAGACAGGGAGACACAGCGGCATGCGGCGATAAATTCGGCGCTCCCGCCCCACGACCGATGGTCGACGAGGAAGCGTTGGCTGCCGCGCGCGTCTTCTTCTGGTCCCAGATGTAGACCGGCTTGCTGCTGTTTTCAATGGAAGCGGATAGGATGTACCCCTTGTAGTTGAATCCATGCAAGTGGTCTGTTAAAAGCAAACAACATTTGTTAGTGACTTATTTGATTTTGTACCCTATGAATTGGTCAAACTAACTGTAGACTCTGTAAAAGTCTTGTGGGCTGCGGACACGCACCCAACCTTCGGATGTTCTACCATTGATGAAGCACTTGTCGACGGATGCAACCTCGCGGGAAAGAACCTTGAGGTCCGAAAAGTTCATCTCAGGAGGCAACTATTAGTGTGGGTAGAGCAAATATCTGTATTAGCCATAGCTCGCCAATGCGGTAGTGAGAAAAGAGAGGGAGTGCGGGCCTTAGGGTCTGGGTATCGGCTAAGGGATCAGAGCAGTTTCACTCACGTTGGCGACTAAGACGTAATAGATGCCGGATACCGCACCCGACTCCACGGCGTGCTGCACAAGCTCGTGCTTGGTTGCTTGATTCATGACTTGCTGTGTCTTTCGAAAGATGGTAGTTTGGTCTGCGCTTTTGAAGATTAGGTGTGGTTGAGGCAAAGTCAAAATCAAGGTGTGAAAGACTCTGACACAGAGATACTTGGTGTCTGGAATGGAGGGAAAAGAAAGACGGATACCGAGACGATGAGATCTGGTGATGCATTCTGCCATATCCATTGTATTTGTCTGGACAGGACGACGCCGTCATATAAATAAGCCAAACAGCATGCAAAGACAACAGAGCAATGCTCCTGCCTCTAGGACGTATGATAACATCTTTCAGTGTGCTGTTAGGTGGTATGCCCAACGGCAACTTTACTCGACCCAGGGCGATGCCCTTAACGAACGTCGCTTTCTCTGCTTTGGGGCGTCCGCATGTTGCAGAAAAAAAACCCGCAATATTCAGTCGAAAATAGGAAAGAAAGCAACCACAAACAGCTTGGCAAGCGACACATCATCACCTCCATGAACATGCATCGTGTGTATGGAGAGTGCAAACGGCGACGATGCCGTCACATTATCCTACCCCCACGAAACATGGATTCTTGGACAGCTAATTGACCAAAAAGATCCAGAACTTAAGCGAGTGTAGCCAAAAAGTAATTCGTGCAAGAGGCGAAGTCCAATGGCCTCGGGCAGGGACGATTCTGCCGTTTTGAGATATGCCGGCCCGGTCTAGAGCGTCGATGGTATTAGGAGCGGTGCGCGGCGCCTGTCGAGAACATACTTGACACATATGAGATGGACGCTGGCGACCGAATTTCGTTTGCCATTTTTGAGCCCGGCGCAATTGCGACTGAAACGTCACATGCTATGGCGACTGTGAGTGGACAGAACCGTCAGCGCATGCATAAAAGAAGTGTGCCGTTAAGCATGCTGATGGGCGCGAATACGACTTCCTACAGAAAAGCTGCAGCCAAGTATCCGTGATTGACCAGGGCGGAGAGAGACCTAAGACGACTATGCGAAATAAAATTTGTAGTTGATCATCTGCTGTTAGGCTCGCATGTAGAATTAGAGACACGACAGTACAGTACTGCTGTCAAGAACGACAGCCCCGGTGTACTGACTGTGGCCGTCTAGGATAATCAATTGTCGACAATTGTGAGGTGCGCCGAAGTGTGCCCAGTTGCTGAATCTGTTTCCTATATGACCATTGAAGCCGAGACGCACGCTCTTGCAAGTAATCGTAATTGCTTGCTTTACCAAGCTGCTGTTTTTGGAGTGCGCGGAGGCTGGGCTTTGAGATTTGCTTTTTCGTTTCTCGAGGTCTCTTTCTTGCAGAAATTCAGACTGTACTTTTGGCACGTCGTAATGTGATGACAGCGGTTACACAGCATGGCAATGAAGAGAGGCTTGAACAAACAGAAAGGTCGAGATTTTGGTGACGAACGTTGCCGAGTTCCGGTACCGTACGATCGTTGGGAGTGGTTGGTGGATTTTCAATTCTTTCTTTTTTGCGTTCAAGTTTTCAGCGTAAAGGATAGGGGCCGTCTGTATGTCGATTGGTTTGATTCAAGCGAAAGAGAATGGCCAGGCCCGATGTTCTATGTCGAAGATGCTGGCCTCCATAACATTTCGGAGGTCAAGGCTGAAGCGGTAATGTTGCCTCGGGGTAGCATCTGTCTCCTTTCGCAAAAGCTGGCTTCCTTTTAGAGATCCTCGCAAAGAATACTCGCATGGATAGGTGTTCGTTTGCACAATGTTTGCGTCGTATTGTCGGATTGACAGCTGGCACCTCGTGTCGCCGGTTGGACCTCAGCATCCCCTGGTCATACCACCAGGCGCTAAGAACGAGCCCAAGAAATGACTTTTGAGTCACACTTTTTGGACCCGAAGGACGAGTTATCATAGCAGTCTTATTAGGTTTCATGCTTGATGCGGCTCGGGCCATAGGCGGGCGGGGATCCTACAACTGAGCAATATCTCGTCATTACCCCAAATTCAATGTTGACCGGTTCAGGAACCTGCGCCGAACTGCTGCAATCTGATTCATCGCATCAATGGTGTTGATTGACGTATGGCAATCGAAATGGCCCGTTTTGCGCAACGCTAAACGTGACAGATTATTTTCGCAGCTGTGGCAGCACGAATCTCCTAGTTGATCTGCCGGGTAGACAGTAGATTGATTGCAATATGTTGTACTCTTCAACCGCCCTCTCTGGCCTGCATAGCAGCTATACCGATAACGACCGTGGCAGGACAGAGTTTAGTGATAACCTGGCTGTGTTGTCACTGGTATGGTCACACAGCATCTCCAGATGTGGGCTTGCTTCACGGTGTGTTGTCATTATTCGCCCATAGCAGTAAACATAGGGCGGGCTGAAAAGAACTGCTGTGGGAGATCCGCAATTGGTCGGTTTATAGAAGGAAAGATGGGCGCAGCGGTGAGAAATACTGGAAGCCGAGAGGACGGGGAAACGGAACACAAGTGCCTAGTCCTCTCTTTTGTAGTGGAAGGTATCATCCAACACACTGGCGCCTTCGATTTCCACGCTTGCGGGCACAAGTTCCAAGGGTGACTCCTCTCTCACTCGATCTTCAAGGGCCCATTGCCTATTGGACAAGTAGGAAGGTGCTGCTGGGATGTCGGCCTCTGGCCACGGCACTGAGTCGGTTGCCTTGTACTCATGTTGGTCGCCCTCATCAAGCGCGACAAGAGAAAATTCGTGTCCATCCGAGTAAAACAGCGAAGGCGGGATACCGTCGAGATGTAGCCATGTTAAGCGATGTTTTCCTGTTGGGGCGCCACTTAGTGGAAGGTGGCCTTCGTTAGTTGTGAGAGGATAATAGCGCAAGAAGTCGCCGACCTGAGGAGGCTCATCCTTGAGGGGGTTCCAGACGACACCCAGCCCTTGGTGCTTTTCACCGTCGCATGTGATGAGTAGGGTGGCGGGTGTAGAAGGGTGCCATGTCGCAGCAGACACATTCGCATGGAGCATAAGAACACTGCACAATTGTCCTGTTTCCGCGCTCCAGACCCAGACAGTAGTGGGAGCCTCTTCCAAACGAGTTGCAAGAAGGGCGGATGCACAGTCAAATGCCAATAGCGTGCATCCTGACGAGATTCCAGATGCGTCAGTGCTGGTCGAGGCCGAGCGGCCCGGGGGCGACACATCCTGCGTTGCCTCGACAAAGCTGTGACAAACACCGCTGACGGCAGATGGCCCAATCTGTTCCTGCCAAATCTGTTTGTTCTGGTAAGCGTTTCTTGTTTTTTGCACAATCTTTTACTAATCCCAGGCACTTCAGCCGGATACGGGCCGACTTACCATAGATGACGCGCTCGTTCGAGGGCGCAGAGATGTGGGATGAACAAGCCGTTTGTATGTCGTAATAGATGCCACGTCAATCAGTCGAACTGTGCGCGAGACATCACCAACGGCCAAGATCCGAGCGTTTGCTGAATACTGCACCAGCCTGACACCTGACCCAAGTAGCTCGTCGGCAATATGTGTATCGATGTGCGTCTCAAAATCGCCATAACCTCCATCACCGTCACCGTTTGATTGTCGAGTGGCTCCGGCATGGGGAACACCGGTCCAGGTTTTGAAAATATAGCCGTCAGGTGTATAGAACAGAATTTTGCGGCCGTATGCGGGCGACTCCCACACTGTCAGCCAGTGGCCGTCAGGACTCCAGACAAGGCCCTGGGCATCAATAGTGTCGGGGGCCCATGATGCAATGGGAGTTGACGCTGCCGGGTCGTGCACACTGACCCAGTCTTTGCCTGCAGTGCGTGTCAGGAGGGAGAGGTGGTTGCTGTCTGGCCGGAACGAAAATCCACGACTGAAAACCGAAACTGAACTAAAGAGCTTCGGGTTCAAGATCTCGACCGTCTTGCCCGTCAGCAAGCTGAACACGGCAAACTTTACACCATAAGCAGAACAGAGGCACACTTGGTCATCGGAAGGACCAAAGCCGACGAAGGCGGGCTTGGCAACGACGGGCAGTGACGGGTTGCGAATCACAGCACGGAATGGCTTTTCTTCACCACCGGTCGAGGCCAGGACAGCCGCCACCAGAATCTGGTCTGCCGTAGCCACCAGGACACGCTGTGAAGTCGGCGACCATTGGAAGCTGACGATGGCCGAGACAGACAGGTCTGTTGGAAGCTCTATTACGTCGGCGAACTCCTCGAGACGGTCCACAGCTTGAATGTGTATTCCAGTGGGAAGCAGCGTCGCCACAAGCCGGCCATCTGGGCTGGGCAGACAATGCGAGGAAGCTGCGAAGCGCGTTAGAAGAATGCCGGCGCATGCATCGTGACGAGAAAGCCAAGATGATTGGTAATGGGCACGATGGACCTAGAACACCACTCCCTAAAACGTTGATGACGTACCCTTGAACTTTCTAGAGAAGCGCATAATGGCTGGAGGTCGGTGGGCGTTATCGGAGATTTGGGGTCTTGCGATGGACGCGTCGAGCTCAGAGTGTGTCTCGGGCGCGTTGGGCTCATGTGGTACCGCAGTAGAAGCTCTCGTACTGCTGTGCTGTCGGTATTGATTGACGAGGTTACTCAAGAGAGCTCGATCGGACGTCTGGGATTCAGGGATAGTTTGTTTATCGCAGAAGCCATTCGCGGGGTTGTGCAGAACGTGCCTTCCTCTGTTTACCAATTGCCATAATGGGACTAATGTCAAATATCCCCACCAGGTTCTCCGTGTGACATTGGCTTTCGAAAGTTAGCGCACTGTGGTTCCTGCCGCGATGCATCGGAATGCAACGAAGGACGCATGGCGGGAAGGCGCTGTCCAGATTGAACCGTCTTTTTGTTTCGAACCTCCAACGCTCTTTCCATGCAGGACAAAGTAAACAAACATCTTGAGTACAGAAAGTTCGACCGACTAGTGTGAAGGAGCGCTTGCCGCCGTTATTTTGCCACTTTACCTGATGAGTAATTCTGACATGTGGGTTCGCTGGTTCTCAGCACCGTGTGCGGAGTAAATTATTGGCATCTCCGCAGAATACGCGGAGGTGGCCGATAAAGCTCAACTCTTCCGCACACACATAAAGACAAGCAGCCCCACGATTGCAATGAGTGGTCTTGGAAAGAAAACACGTCCTTAGCATTCGGCGGTTTCATATTTCTTCTGGCATGCATCCGAGTACAACCTCTTCTTGCAAGCAAAACACATCGCCATGCCGTTGAACAAATCGTCGCCCAGCTTTGGGTGGCGAATGCTGCGGCTCGCTTCTCCCCAATGCGGCCTCTTGGCATTACGGCCACATTCAACAGCCGGCCACGTCCGGCGGACGATTGCTACACGGGCCACGTCGGCAGCGAACCTGAATGACGGTGCCCCGCCTCCCTCTGTTGATCGCTTCACTGCGGGTCCAGCAACGACTGAGGTGCAGAGGCCCGAGCGGGAGCCCGGCCGTCGGCAGCGACAGGAACAACTGAAAAATGCTCGACCGTTTTCCGAATTCCTGACCGATGGCTTTCAGCGCCAGCACGACTACCTGCGCATATCGCTGACGGAGCGTTGCAATCTGCGGTGTCTCTACTGCATGCCCGAGGAGGGTGTGGAGCTGTCGCCGGAACGGAACCTGCTGACGACGCCTGAGATTGTGCTGCTTGCCAATGTGTTTGTGGCGCAGGGCGTCAACAAGATCCGTCTCACGGGCGGCGAGCCGACGGTGCGGCGCGACATCTTGCCGCTGATGCGGCAGCTCGGCGCGCTGCAGCGCCTCGGCCTGCGGGAGCTGTGCCTGACGACAAACGGGCTGGCGCTGCACCGCAAGCTTGAGGCCATGGTCGAGGCTGGTTTGACGGGCGTCAACCTGAGCCTGGACACGCTCGATCCGATGCAGTTCCGGTTGATGACGCGACGCGACGGGTTCTCGGCGGTGCAGCGGAGCATGGATCGGATTCTGGAGCTCAACAAGGCGGGCGCGGGGATCCGTCTCAAAATCAACTGTGTCGTGATGCGTGGGCTGAACGACAACGAGCTGGGCAAATTTGTGGGGCTGACACGGGACCACGACCTCGAGGTGCGGTTCATCGAGTACATGCCGTTTGACGGCAACCGGTGGAGCACGGGCAAGATGGTCAGCTTCAACGAGATGCTGGAACGCATCGGCGCGGACTACCCGACGCTGCAGCGCATGGTGCCGGACGCACATCACAACGGACCGCACGATACGAGTAAGACGTACGAGGTGCCTGGCTTCGCGGGCCGCGTGGGCTTCATCACGAGCATGACGCACAACTTTTGCGGCGGATGCAACCGACTGCGGATCACGAGCGACGGGAGCCTTAAAGTGTGTCTCTTTGGCAACGCCGAGGTCTCACTGCGGGATATTATGCGGCAAGCCAACAGTGGGGAGCCCATCGATGAGGCGGCCATGGCCGAGATGGTGCGGCTTGCTAAAGAGGCCTCGTCCGCCGCTACGGCACAAGAACCCAACTTGGACATACAGTTGAGCGATGTCTTACCAAACGCCTCTGAGCTGCTCGATGTGATTGGCATGGCAGTGAAGCGCAAGAAGGAGCGCCACGCGGGCATCGGCGAGCTAGAGCACATGAAGAACCGGCCGATGATCTTGATAGGTGGGTAGTGCTTTTGCTCCGCAACGAGATGAGCCTCACTTTCATGTATCCTGTATTCAGACAGGCAGGACAGGTGGGTTGAATCTGGAGAGCCGGCTTTGCGACATGGGGTTGGTTGCAGGATGCGTGAGGACCCGTAGCTAATGTTGACATAGACCGCAACCGTCACCAGCCTTCACTGTCAATGTATAGCTGTGCTGGCCTTGTCCAGAGTTGGGGCAGACAGCCAACAAATGGGACGGCCTCATTACCCATTCTCTCACCATACCTTTCACATATGACAGCTTCGCCGGTAGCATGCTCAATATCTCAGAGAAAGGTGTTTTACTCTACGGCTGGCCGACTCGGCCGGAAAAACGATGGCAAGACCGGAGGCCGGACGGCGTCTCAACACACGGTCGAGGAAGAACCCCGTCTGACTCACGTCTCGGCATCGGGGACGGCACACATGGTTCCCGTGGGCGAGAAAGCCGTGACGTCGCGGACGGCAGAGGCGGCCTGTACGGTACGGTTCTCAAGTCCTGTTGCAGTGGCCCTGGTTCGAGCCAACGACATGGCCAAGGGTGATGTGCTCGGCGTGGCACGGATCGCTGGCATCATGGCGGCTAAGCGGACGGCTGACCTTATTCCGTTGTGCCACCCACTAGCTCTATCGCAAGTTGCAGTCGACCTGGCCGTTTCTGGGGCCCATAATAACAACGACGACTACAACGACAACAACGACAACAACGATGACGACTACGGGCATGTGGATATACGCACTACCGTGCGGTGTGAAGGCAAGACGGGTGTGGAGATGGAGGCTCTGACGGCCGCATCGGTGGCGGCCCTGACAGTATTCGATATGTGCAAGGCGGTGGACAAGGGCATGCGCATCGACGGCCTGCGCGTGGTGTTCAAAGATGGCGGGAAAAGTGGCCGTTGGGAGGAGAAGGGTGCCCCAGAGACAAAAGAACGGTGAAGGAACGTGATCATGGGACGTACGAGATGCAAGGGGGGGATGTGCATGGCGTCTGCATATACACGACTCGTTTGTTTTACTTTTCTTTTTTGGTGCCTTGTCATGGCATGGAGGTGTGTCTGTTGGCTTTTCCTTTGCGATAAGTACACAAAACGACCGCCAATCTGATTTTATTTCTTTTCTTAGATGTCAAGAATTAAACGTGTCGCCCAGGGCCAAAATGTTCGAAAAGAGTGGTGAAGAGAGTCTGGACCGGTCTATGGTTGAGCATCACAGCGACTGCGCCCTCCTTCGGCTTGCGACGGCTCCTACAGGCTGTCATGCAGGTAGTTCTAGGCGGCTCCTTCCTTCCCATCCGATCAATGCAATATGCAGAATGATTCGCAGTACGAAATCGATGACTGGCATAATCTGTGAAATGTCCATTCATCATGACTTGCATGACATGTGCGAGGCAAACTCGGAGGCTGTGATGATGAACGTAGCCACAGTCAGAAATGGCGTGGCCAGTGAGTTCTGTGTGCTGAAGATGGTTTAAGGCACTCCAGCTCTGACAGATGTTCTGATCCCCTAGTTCTCTGCACCGCGGCTAGAATGCTCCAATGACGAGCCTTTCCCACTTTTTGTTTGCTTTGCCATTTACGATGTCGGGTTGCCTCGTCGTGGTTGAAGGCTGTGTTCTTCGGCCTCTCCATTTCTCTGTGCTTCGCTGTTTCCCCCCATTTTTTTCTTCTTTTTTCAGGGACCCAAAAGTGTCGCGTGCTCTTTCCTTGGATACTGGGGACTTTCCTTGCTTCCTTTGCGATTCTTGTTTTTTATGGAGCCCGGAGACGCCTGGAGGGCGCCTGCCACGGCAGGTGGCGGCCGCCTACTTTACAGCTTTTCCTGCGTTTCTCGCCGAGGCCGATGATGCTCCGCTGTCTTTGAGGATCTGCCTTTTGACAAGACAAGGACAAAGTCTTGCTTTCTCTTTCCTGTTTCGTTGCCATTTCCGAATCAACAGACAGCCGCATGGAACTGCCTCGACGCGATCAATCGCCGTGTTTTGTTACGACGCTTTCCTCGCCTCTTCCCAGGCTGCCTCTGGTCGGATATGTCCTGATAACTCTGCTTTGCTCTGGGAGACTGCTTACGATATATGATGTGCAAAGTGCTATCCGGCCCTCTGGCTGTGCATGTTTTTGCTCGTTTGCCTTGCGTTGTAATGACAAAGTACGACATACTCTGTAGTTATCGTTTTTTCTTCATTACATGTCTTGTGTTTTCTTATTTCCTCGGCGCCCAGAATTGCTACCAGCGCCGGCGATTCCCATCATCTTAATTTAGCGGCGGGAGAACCGTGGCGAGCGTGGGAAGGTCGGCTACGAGACAGACTTACATCGTACAAAAGCAATTCTCGCTCGTACTGTGTAGACCCGACAGCCCGTAGCGTGGGACGCAGAGCAAACTATTAGCTAATGGGCTGCCCATTTAGGCAAGGAAGGTAGTCCTGTAGCCACTGTACCTGGCGCTGGACCAGGTTCTGGGTTTTCTTTTGAAGTATTTTACGTTGGATCGGCATGTCTTTGTAGCAGTTTCCCCATTAAAATAGTGTTCTGCGATGTACTGTACTCAGTACAGTGTCAACAGTTGGCACTTTGAGATAGAACCACTTCCCCATTTGGTTCGTATACGAGGATTGCGGCCCCTTTTCAGCGAGTGTTTATGAGACTGTTGGTCTTGGGGGTGTCTTGGAGCCTTGGGCCTGGATCATCTTGGATCTTGGACCTTGCATGCGTCTTGTTTTTGCTTCTCCGGTATCATAGTCTTCCTACCAGCATTTCTTGCTTGTTTCTGTTGTTGGGACTGTATGAGTGTACTCATCCAAACTTACGAAATGAAATTGAAAACCGCAATCTCAAACAATATCGAGAGCGGCCCTTGTTGGCCGTCCGCGGCAGGATATCGCTAAATAGCAGTACGGCATACCGCATACAACGGATGTCCCTTCCCTTTCCATGGGTCGGGCAGTGCGTCTTCAACACGACAGCATTCTAATTCATTTACCTTGTGCGACTTACAGGCGGCCCGGGGCTGGGATAATACTCCCCGAAATGACCTGTCGTAGGCCGAGCTGGTCGGTGTAAATGATTTTGGCACACTACACGAATTGCCATGTCGTACTCTGCACAGATGCCACTTTGGACGCCACAACGGTCAGACAGCAACACTTTCCGTCTCTCTGTGCCTTGCCGTCAATCTTTGCCTGTTGCAGTAGCTGCGGAGGGACTTGGAACTTCTCCGTCAAAAGACAATCTTTTATTTCGCCGTGCTATTTGTCTCATCGTGTCGTTTCGAGGTTGCTTTTGGCTGGTCTTGTTTCGTTCACTGAAAATCTCCAACTCAAACTTGAAATAAACATGCTTTTCAGAACGTTTTGTCTTTCTGGTCTTGGCCTCGTCTTAGGCCCATAAAAATAATGGGTCCTTCCATTAACGGCAGGGGTGGTGTGGGCCAAACTTTGCCAGGTTGAGAAGTACGTCGTAAAAAACGGCATCAGGGTTGTACTTTCAAAGAACCAATCACAGGCCAGTGATAAGAGCTGCTTTGACAGACCAATCACAAACCGTGCCTGCTTCATCTTGACAAAAACGCTAGCGAGAGACTTTTTGACTTTGGACAGGAGGAAAGAGCGACCCGTCCGAACAACGATGGTCTTCTGTTCCACCACAATAAAAGGGCGTCGCGTGCGACACAAATTGGAATGCACCAGAAAAAATAAAATGTACAGAATAGCAAATCCTACGACGTCTGGGGTGTATTTTGATCGCGTGGCGGTGGCGGCGGTGCTGTCAATCGGAAACGCGCTGCGTAATTGTCACGTCGTTGGTGAGAGAACCAAAGGAAGGAGCAGGCTGTCTGACGCAGATTCGCCTCTCATGCCACGAGTGCTTTCGCCGTTCTGAGTAAGTCGACCCGACAGAATTAGTGTAAGGTGGTTGGTCGTGGGGGACTGGGGGAGGACACAGAAAGCAGGACAAAAAGAGGGACCTTTGGCACGTGAGAGGTGGATACCTTAATGAGGTACTTACTCCGTACTGCAGCGAACAAAAGCATAGGCACAAACTGCAGCACTGACACTTTAGATACTTTGTTTTTAAGCGCCTCTGCTAAGGTAGTGCTGTACCATATGAGTACCCTGTGGGGCCGACCAATACGACGGAGGGACTTTTAGGCAAGCGTGACTCGCCAAGCGCACCAGTAAATAAGGACCCAGATATTCGCTCGGGCAGTCGGCTGCTGACGGCCCAATGAGCGGCGAGGCAAAGAAAAGTAGGAAAGAGCGATTCGACAAAGCGACAGAGCGAAAGAGTTTGAGAATGGGCGAGAAATAGGAAGACCGTCAATTTGCATCCCGTAATTATACCAAAACCTCTGTGACATACCGGTGAGCGGCCTTTTTTGGTGCGTTTACCGAACTGCTCCGTACGTCGCAAGATATGTTAATATATGGTGTACGGAGGATGACGGCAAGCACAGCGACAGCGCCTTCATTGGACTTGATCGGGCGGCGTTGATCGACAGGATACGCTGACGTTGAATCCCCGCTGGCAAACGCCGTTATCGAAAATGGCAGCCCAATCTAATCTGCCACTATCTCCATCTTAATTTAACAGGCCACCACAAGTACTCTGTATTGCTTCCGTCGTGCGAACCTGGCCTATCTATGTCGTGTTGTTATTTTGCAGCCGTAACTGCTGTCACTTGCAAAGGACGAATGCAGGCGACGCCTGAGTAAGGCAAGTTACGTCGCAAGGTCACGACACATTAGATGCTTCGTTTGAGGTAAATGGTAAATGGTTGCACTTACACCGTCTCTTTCCTTTGTCGGTTTGAAGATGTGCCAATGCGGTGCAACGCACCTTCCTCGCAATGGCCTTTTCGTAGCTCCGCTGTTCCACTTGTCTTCTCACTGCAGGTCGAGACCTCGTGATGGGAGGGGGGTGCTTGCATGCCGAACACGCTGGCGACTGCGTTGCCTACGATGCGCCGACCGTCCTGAAGAACGGAGAAAATGGCACAAAAAAGAGACAGGTCAGGTCACTTGGACACTTGTGGCGTTGCAGGCCCGACAGTCGGGGCAATGGCACCCTGTGTGCTGCTCCTTCCTCACCCCCCTCCTTCCCTCTTCAACGACGTAGCAACAGCAAAGGCGGTGAGAGAGGGGAAGGAGCAAACGTGCGTCAGGTTGCAACCTCCAAGAGGCAAACTGAGGATATGTACGACATAATTATCCATCGTCCACTTTCGGACGCGAAGCATCAAGTCTTGGGGCTCAGTAACGAAACAAGCTGTTGCTCGTATTCTATCGTCTCTTACCTTCTTATCCTCCGAAACTCACAAAGACAAAGGCAAGAAGCATCGTCGCTAGAATCGCACGGTCTCACGATAGGACCAAAGTAAAGCAAAGATAAAGATAAAATTTAAAAAGAGGACTGGAGAGTCGATTTCGAATGCGCGCCGGCGTGCGCTTCTAACGGCTCATGACAGCCTCGAGCAACGTTGTGCCAGTCAGCGCCCTTTCGGGATTTGCGCGCAAGGAGTCGAGATTTGGGCTCGCCACATAGCCTCGCCGGCACTCGTTTTTCCGGCCCAGTTATTGTCTCCCTTTGCCAAAAGACGACGTCGAAACGGTGCTTGCCGTTCTCAATATCCTACCGCTCGTGCACATCCACCTGCTTTGTACTTTTGTACTCCGCACATCATATTCCGTTGTCCCTGTCTTTCGATTGTTCGCTGCCACCTCTTTTCCCCCATCTTTACTCTCCCTCTGGCGCCACTCAGTCATCATGGTGTCAATCGTTTCTGATCCTGGTAGTCAATCAAGTCGATATCTTGACGTATTGACGTTTTGACAACCTGACGTTCTGACGTACCCCGTATTCGTCTGCCATTTTGAGTCTATGCATCTGCTGCAGACATCGCCCCCCTTTCCCACCGCTCTTTGCTTTTGGGGAGTTGGATCCGCAACAATCCCACCCAGTGGCGCTCTTCCATGTAGAGATGCCCATGCTCCAAGAGAGCAGGAACAGACATTGACGAGGCCAGTTCTGTGGATCGCAGTGTAAGTCCACTGTGGAGCTCAGTCTGCAGTCTGCAGCCTGCAATCCCCGCGGATCCCTGCACACCACAACCGCCGTGTGCGCCTGCGACGTCTTCACCGGTTCTGGGCAGGCCTGGGCATGGGGGGCAATGTGGCTGTTGTGCGTGTCTGTGTCTGTGTTGTCCAATTGTCGAAACGCTGTTCGCGATTCAAACAGTGTCATCCCCGACCTTTTTGCTGACTATGAAGCAGTTGCCAAAACTGACGATACGGCTTTATTTGCAATCTAGAATGCCACTCGCACCTGCTTATCCGTTTGATTTCCCCTTTGCTTAGTCCCGTCCTCTCCCATGCTTTCCCCTGTCGTCGTTGCAAATGCACAGGTCACACTCCGTGCTTCTCGACAAGTGCGATCTCCAGGAGTCGTCGAAATCTACTTATCAACCCCAGTCGCCGACGTCGTCGCCCTAGCGCATGTTGGTTGTTGGTTCGCCTCCCCAACCTCTTGCACTCTGGCCCCCTGTGTGCCTTTTCTGATCCCTCGTAGCCCACTGTAAGATATCTTAACTTACGACCTCTGGCCTCTCGCAACAATCGGGCTACTGGTCGCACTTTTCTTTCTTAGCCTCTTAGCCTCGATCGTTCGCAGACAGAAGGCGCCCCACTGCAACTGAACGCCGCGCCTAGGCTCTAAAAGCCCGCGGGTGTCCAATTGCCGCTCTTGCAGTTCGTTTGACCGAGCCCACCAGAAAAGGAATGAAGCGTGTGCAGCCCATACTATGGCCTGAGGCCTGTCACTCTTTCCCGTTTGCCCCCCTCGCCTCGTCCGTCGCTCGTCTCGCCTCTGGCTGTTGCTTTTCTCGTTATCAAGACGTCGCTAGTGCCGACCACCACTACCTACCACGCTACTGCTTGGTGGTCGCTCTTTCCTTGTCCGTCGGAAGTGCTTTATTTGGTGCCCTCCCCATATGTAAAAGTATCGTGCCCCCCCATATGGCCTCGCTTTCCACACCTTCCCTCCCCTTCCCCTTCCGTTCTCTCTGTTTCCTCTCTCTTTTCTGTTGTATTTTCATCCTTTCTTTATTTATGTTCACGATTTTAGACTTTACCCTTTACATTCTTCACGATACCTTTAGCATCTGTCCTCGAGAGAGAACAGAAAAGCAACAGAATAAGCAACTGGGCTTGTATCTGTTTTCTTCCTACTCGCGCAAACTTCCAATCTGCGCTTATCTTCTGTGTCTCTCACCCCAACAACTACTACGTATCTTCACCGGCGACGAACCCGAGAGAGGTGGTTTACTCTTTCGTCGTCTTGTCTTGTTGAGAATCCTCGCTCCTCTTCACCTTCCCGACTCTGCGGAATCCTCTGTCACGCCTGTTTCTGCACGATCTGCAACACTTCGTCGGCGTCACTTCACCTAGAGCGCATGCAATCTCCCACCTCTTCCAGTGAACCTTACGTCTTTACAGCTCTTCTTTCTCTCCTCGTAGAATCGTCCGAGTAGGCACATGACCATGGCCGCCGACTTCATAATGCCGCGCATTCCTACGGCGTCGCGCGACGCCTTCTACACGCAGCCTCACCAACGCCATGCGCAAGAGCAGATCCCGGCCTTCAACCAGCAGCACTACGCCTACGCCGCCGTCGCTGCCGCAAATACCGCCGCTACCGCGTCCAACCTTGCATCTCAGTACAATCCCCAGATCTCGCCCTTGAGCACGTCGAATAGCAGCTCGCCCACCTCGCCTAAGCCCGCCAGCAACAACAACAGCAATGGCAACTACCACACCCGCCAGGTCCGCCCCCTTTACATCCCGGCCGTCCTGCGGCGAAACGAGCATCCGTCGCGCGAGGGCCAGGCCAAGGCTGGCGACGCACCCGACCACAGCAGCGGCGACAGCAGTGCCGTGGGCGACGGCTCCGAGGACGACGATGAGCAGGACGACCACAGCCAGACCAGCCGCCGCAGCGGGGGCATGCGCTCCAGCGGCAGCTTCATCAGCCTCCCGGGCCTCGGTGCCTTTGGAATCGGTTTGCTGAGCCGCCGCTCCACCAACGACAGCGGCAAGTGTGTCGACACCAAGTGGAACCTCGACCAGTTTCCGGACGTCAATGGCTTTCCCTCGCGGAGCCACTGGAAGGTGTGTAATTTATGACTCTCCATGAACATGGCTGTTTATGAGGGCAGTGCCTCGTTTTACAGCGCCTCGTTTACGGTGGCAGTTATTAACTTGGTTAGCCGGACCCTGAGTCGACCATGTGCGACGAGCCGACGTGCAAGAAGTCGTTCAGCTACTTCACCCGCCGCCACCACTGCCGCCGCTGCGGCAACATCTTTTGCGACTTCCACTCCGCCTTTGAGATCCCGCTAGACGAGCAGGCCAACTACAACCCCAAGGGCTCGTCCAACCGCGCCTGTGCCTACTGCTTTCGCGAGTTCAAGGCCTGGCGCACACGCACCAACAGCAGCGACCTCTCAAGCGCCTCGCCTGGCACCACCACGCCGGCTACCGCCAACACCAGCGCCTACAAGAAAGCCGCCACGGCGCCTACGAGCCCGGTCGTGGCTCTTCGTCAGCCTGGTGCGCCTGGGACCCCGACGGTGGCGAAGGTTCCTGACGTCGCCCAGAGTGTCCCCGGTGACTGGAACTGGAGCACCTTCTAGAGGACTGTGACGACACACGCGAACGACTCTTTTTTCATACGCGAACCATTTTTCGATGCGACCCACATGTTTCTTTTTATCGACATAGATTTTGGTCCCCTTTTATGTTGCAGAAAGACAAGGCTGCCAGGAATGTATTGTACTTCCTTTCTGCCTTGTCTTTTGCATGCACTTCTTTTTATTTCGTTTTGCGAGCCTTCTTGTTCGACATTGTCGACTTTTGCATCATGGCGTCATATGGGCTTTTACCTTTCTTGTTTCTTTGTTTTTATATACCCAACCTCACCTACCTACTTCACGACGCGACACTACCGATCGACACACCCCACCGATCTCCCTCCTTCTCATACGACTCTTTTTACAGTCGAATTAATCGAAGCATTGCATTGCTTGGGCATTGCTTGTTTACTTTTCGCATTGCGAGCAGGTATTAGTTTGTTTCTTGCCTTCAGTTCAACTTGGGATATTTTGCTTTTTGTTTCTGGCGCACCTCAGAAGGTTGACCGTTGACCTTGCTTTTACTATATTTTGTTCTTTTGCGCAATAGACACAACAGTGAGAACTTGAGGTATTGGTTTGAGCCTCTCGTTCCTATTTTTAGATGGACAATCGGTCTGCTTTTTCGTGACCGCCTCGGTAGCAATTGCACAATAGACTTTTGGGACTTTGGAAGAGCCCCTTTTGATTTTCTAAATTTCCCTGCCCGTAATATTACAACAATCATTTTGCTTGTGCCCGTGACTGTATATAACCTACAAAGTTTGACGCAGGCTCGACACGATGAAATTAGACAAGATGACTCGATTAGGATGTAGATGCCGAAATATGATGTAAAATTTACTTTAAAAGACATACGAATTAAAACAATGCCAATGTGTGGGCGCCGTAAAGAATGCGGTGATCGTACGTCCCCCAAGAAACAAAAAGAAGACAATCCGTTTGAGACCAGTAACACACAGCGACCAAATGCATCACAATTTTCGCAACCTTACTTCTGTCCACTGTTCATTGGAGCCCCGACCGCCTCCCCGATTAGCTCACATTGTCCTCGCTGCTTCCACTCCAGCCAATGCGCTCCCGCACGGATCCCGCGCCGTACAGCGCCTCCAGCAGCCGGCCCTTTTGGCGAGCACGGACCTCGGAGAGGTACGTGCCGACGTCTTCGAGTCCGCGGATCTGCTCGTCCAGGGTCAGCGTGCTGCTGTTGACCGACCGCACGAGCGGGCTGACGAGTTTGCGCCGCAGACTCTCGAGGCTCGTCTTCAGCGCCAACAGGCGGTGGTTGTGCTCGACGAGCACGCCCTTGTTGCGCACCGTCTTCTCGCGCACGTCGCGCAGCAGCTCGCGGTTCTGCTCGTACTTGGCCGTGGCGGCGGCGCTGGGGCCGAGGATGCGCGTCCAGAGGCCCGCCAATAGATCCGCGTGGCGCTCGTCTTGGACACTGGCCTCGCGTGCGACGGTGCGCACAAGGTTGAGAAACTGGCGGTCGATGTTTTCAAACAGCGCAAAGAGGGCCAGGCTGTGCTGCAGTTCTGTTGCGACGGCCTCCTCGAGCACCAAAAGGAACTCGTGGAACGTGCGGTGCAGCGTGGCACGTGTGCGCTGCGGGCCGGACATGCCAAACAGCGTCGTGGCCACGGCGCCCACAGCCGTGGGCGATCCCGTTGCGACGTTTTCAAACAGGCCCGCGCAGGCGAGCAAGTTGTACACGTTGTCGTAAGCAGCGGCCAAGGGCTTCATGAGAAAAAGACTGGGCGACGTCGACGTCGGCGGTTCCTGTAGACGACCGAGCTCCCGTCGTGCCCAGTCCATAACAATCAAAATGCCGTCAATGTCGCCATCGATGTTTGAGAAGAAGCGGGTCAGTTCCATCGCCAGTGCCCGGAGGGTGTCGCTGAGCTCGTCGAGCTCTTGGACGATAATAGGTGCTGACGTGAGGTTGCTCAAGCGGACGCTTTCGCCTAAATCCCACACGGCCACACCGGTGGCTTCCAAATCGTGCACTTGAGCCACGCCATTTTCTGAATAGTAGATGAGCGGCTCAAAAGATCGTGCAACGCCTGCCACCTTGACGAGGTCTGGTACAGCGCGAAAGCCAGCCGCGTATGACAATGCGCGCAAGGCCGCAATTGACAGGATGCCAACCACGACTGACAGGAGAATGCGCGCCCAAGAGCGAGTCGCAAAATAGATTCTGCCGCGTACATAACCTAACGCAGTATGGAGAAGCTTGGTGTGGTGTTTCACCTCCGAGCGGACTGCAAATCGAATATAGTTGTCGGACGTCTCATGCTGGCCGTTTAGGAGCTCTAAACCAGCCCTCTCCTCCTGTATGGATTCCATAGCCTTGAGCCGCATGCCATCCATCCGACTGAGCGGGCTTGGGTAGACGAGCTCCGGTTCGGGGCTTCGTTCCTTGTCAGGGCTCATGCTGCCAGGCAGTCGTGTGCGCATAGCGCGCTCCAGCACGGTATCGTCCGCATAGCCGCCACCATGGTCGTCAAAGATGTCATCGTCGTCGGGCCCAAGCATGTCGTCTACCATGGCGTCCTCCTCACTATCAAACCCAGGACTTGATGCTCGCGACGAGGCAAATGTACGACCCAGCCTGGACTCTTTCCGCCTTTGAAAATGCTGTTGAAGGTGTGATGCGAAGGCATGTGGCGATGTAGATGGGTGTGGTAATGAGTTCTGTTGCTGTTGCTGTTTCTGATGCTGGTAGTGTAGCTGGTCGTCCGTCTCTCTCATTGGCGTCGCCAGAGTGGGTGAGCCGAGGATATTGTCACTTTTGCGCCAGAAGCCTGAGCTACGGTCGCCGTTTTCGAGGCGGCGCCACGCCGGAGGGCTGTACCCACCACCGCCAGATGCTGAATCCTCCACGCTGTCGTTTCCCTCGCTGTCGGTTTCGAGGAAGCCGGTGTGGGTCGACGGTTGTCCGAACACCTGTGGGAGTTGTGGGTTCACTTTCTGCTGGACGTGTTGCGGGTGTAGGGAATGCGACTGGTGTTCGCGGTGGGGAGAGATGGACGGTGTCAGGAGTCGGTTGTTGGCCGGGTCGAATCCGGGATGTGATGAGTCCCAGGATACCAGAGGAGAGCCAATTCGTGGCATGGTCGTTCGTGTCAATGCCGATAGGCTGTCGGCCTCGCTCCTCCCTATCGCTGCTGTCCGGCGATTGACTATGAGGGTCATATACGCCCACGTTTTTGCGGCGACTACTATGAACCACCAGCTTGGCCGATTCCGCTGTCGTTTCCGAGATGGTGTTCCTGCTGGTATATGTGCTTTTTGGGGGTGTCAAGTACTTGTTGCGACTTCCCGGACTGGTATTTTCCTTCTCCCGTTCCTTAGCCCGTTGTCTCTCTCTCGAATCTTTTGCGGCTGGCCTTTCGCGGTCACTCCGGCTGCTCTTTTTCTTACGGAAAAATCCGGAGAAGCGCTCTTTCTCACGATCGTCGCACTCCTCGACGTACCCCCCCAGTAGAGGTCGGAATGGCGGAGGCGGCAATGGTGGTAGTTGACGATGCTGCCAATCGACAACGACAGATTCTCTATTACGCCACTGTCGAGGATCGACGTAATCGTTGTAGCCGTCGCCGAGGTCGTTGGCAATGCGTTGGCGTCTGTGTTGGACGGTGTCTATATCGTCGTTTCCTTTACGACGCCGGTCGAAGCGGAAGAGATGGGGTAAGGGTAAGGACGGCAGCCGTGGCAAATATAGCGACAGAAAGACGAGGGCCAAGGTCAACGCGGCCAAGAACGTGCTGGGGGCAATATTGATGCTCAGCAGAGACACGTTGTTGTGGACAGCAAAGAGTGGCTGCATGAAGGGGGCAGGGGACGAGGTAAAAGGGAGAGAAAACATAAAAGTAACAAGAAATAAACGAGACAGTGGGAGAAGCAAAGATGAGAGTAGGAATGACAAAATAGGGACGGGAGACCGGCTGGACCAAAGAAACCTGGGTTCAGAAAGCGGTTGACGACGGGGAGAGAAAAGAAGAGCAAAGACAAAGATCGTCGTAGAGAATAGCGGGCAACGGGAGCGACTGTCAAAAAGGGACAGGTGGAAAAGAATAAACAAGGACGAGCACCAACTGGACGAGCACCAACTGGACGGCGTGCGCAAAGGGAGCAGAAAAGTTACTCGCGCGGCGGAGGGCGATTGAAGTGAAGAGCTGGTATAGATGTTGAGGTCACTGTTCTGTATGGAGGAGGCTTTGATCGATAGGTTTGCTGGGGCTTGCTGGATAGTCGAGGCTTTTCTTGTCAACCAGTGTCTTGTGTGATGTCTTGTCGTCCCATCGACTTGTCGTTTTCTGGTCTGGCGCAACACTGTTTTGTTTTGTTGTCCTCGACGGTGTGGGAAATCGAGAGGCTGGGAACGGCGCTGGTGAGACAATAGGGCTCCTCTTTTTAATCGCTGTGGGTGTGCGCCCAAGCTTCTCATGCAGCAACCGACAGGGCCAGGCCGCGGGTGGGCCACACGTCTTCTGCAGGCCGCACAAGTGGCGACCGGTCGTCCAATCAACAAGAAAGCACTTTGGACGAGCGAGGAGGATCTCGACGATGAGGTAGAAAATGGTGGAACTGTTCTCGTTCGACCGTGCGATATGAAGACGAGATGGCCGCCTCTTCGGGTGCTTCTATTCCTCGAGTCGACGCATCGGGCGGTATCAATGACCACGATCAGTGGAGAGATAAGATCTGGGCTGTAGATATTTGAGGTGAAGTTCCCCTTTATGTGGCTCCCGTGATGTGATGCAGCGGCAGGTCACAAATGCGGTTGGCCAGGTCCTGCCTGCCATGCCGGACTGGATTTGCCCCTCGACATGGCTACACATTCCAGAGAAGCAGGTACGAACCCCGCATCCTACACTTGCCTGAACCGCCCTTTCCCAACCACGCTCCATCGCTCCTGCCGCGTTTTGCGGATATTCTTACACGGCGACTCGTGCTACTACGGACAACAATCATCCCTTCTCTTTTTGAAACCGCCGTGTTAAAGTGCCTGCATGAACAGTCCTCGACTCCCAGATATGGCAGTCGCTGCCTAGTTAGGCCCCACACAACAACCGCTGTCAGTGGTGGTATTAGTCAAAAGAGGAAACATCAAAAACACTAAACGACGTAAACAAAGCGGGCGGGAAACAACACTAAAATACCCCAAATGCCACTAAACGTTCACTGCAAGGCCCCTGTCAGCCTACCAAAAACCACTTAACGCGTCTCGCTTCAGTTACGTGACGCGTTTTCAGCGCCTCTCGCAAAACAAACACAAAAAGGGCTCTCGGACGCTGGCTGTCTGATTGGCTCCAGTCGCGGTTTTCGTGACGCACGCCAACCCATTCATATGCGATGTCTCCTGACTTTTGTTTACGGAGACGATATCGCCACCATTCTGTCCTCGTCGACGTGCCAATAACATGCAAAGTTGTCTTTCACTTTGTCGGGTGAGGTAACCCGAGACACGAAAACATAAATACATCCGCGTTGTTGAATAGTATGATCTGCTGTGAACAGACCAGTGGAAAAGGGAAGAAATAATGGCGATGTTGCCACGAGGCCGTTTAAACGTGGATTTCATTATCGCTAACTGAGCATGACTATTTTTTTGGTCCAGTACTGCCTGGCCTCGGGATATAATAGCAATAGTGACGAAAACAGAGGAGCAACAAAGTGTGCAATGAGCCGAAGAAGTTAAATCTGACGAGAGATTCAGGAAAGACATTGGAAGTGAGGAGGGAAAAAAGATGAGCTCGACAATCGCTGACCATGAAAAAGAAAAACACAAAACTTCTCAACAGAGAAAACAATGATTGAGAGCCGAAAAACAAGCCGCCGATAAAGCGAACCGGGCAACAAAACAACTAGTCGATCTTTGCATTGGCCAGGCTCCTGGCTGTTGGGTTGCTGAGGTTGTTGACTTGGTTAAAAGCCGTCCGCTTGTACTTGCTCTGCTTCCGGAGCCGCTTGCGGGCGACCATCACCGGCACAGAGCTCTTCGTCACCAAATAGTTGGAAAAGGAGCCGAGAATCACACTGGAGTTGTTGTTAGTCATCAATACAAAAAAAGTCAAGAACGAGGCAGGAAAGAGGAAAAGAGGAAGAAAGAAGCGTAAGCTTACCCCTTCAAAGCACTGCGACCACGGCTGCCTAGAATGACCAGCGTCGGGTCCACCAAGTCAATCACCTCGGTGAGCAGGTGCCGCGGCGTCTTGCAGTGGAGCACCTCGACAATCACGCGCACCTGCAGCCTTGTCTTCCGAAGAAGTCTGGCGATTCTATCGGTAATATCTTGAACGGCGCGATGACGTTCCTCCTCGGCGCGAGATCGCTGCGGTGCCGGCGAGGCAGACGCTCCTGTGCCGAGCGCACTGCTGTCAGTGTTTCGCAGGATGAGCGACGGCCGAGCCGACGCGGGTGGGGCCGCCACACTAAGGGCCGCCGAGGACGCCGTTGCCGTCGCAAGTGCTGAGAGAGAGTGCGTCTCGGGGAGCCGTCCCGTCGCAGTCGTGGCGGAGACCGCCTGTGCCTGCTCCCGCGTCGTCTTCGGTTCGTCTTGAGAGTCGGTTCCACCGGGAATCCCCGTCTCCTCGTCCACGCAATATATGGCCACCAGGGTGTCACCGTCGCGGAGAACGGTACCGATGGCCCACTCCAGAGCATGTGTCGACTCATCGCTGAGGTCTGTCGCCACGACATATTTGCGGACGCGGCGGTGTTCATCGTCGCCGGCTTCCTTTTGGACCTTGGCAAAATCCCCGCGGTAGATGATCCGGATGGACCGCTGGGTTGCTGGCGTCGACATAATGGGCGTCATCGACAGCGTCAACTTCTGCGCGCTTTTTATATCGGTGTATTCAGCTTCGTTGTCAGAGTCCCACCGCGTGCGGGATTCGGAGCGCGACGCATCAAAGCTGTTGGCTGGGTGGACACCAGACTTGGTCTTGACTTTGTCACCCGAAGAGTTGGTGACAACAATTTCCGGTTCCAGAAGAGACCTATACGGTTGTGTACTTGCCACGTGAATACCTGAGAGGAGAGGGGTTAGCAAGGTGTGACTGACCACTTGTAAACTAAGTGTTAATGGGATGGGGAGGAGGGGGTAATCCCGAAATAATTTTGTATAGTGACTTACGTTCTTCCTCGGCCGCAGCCAGTAGACTCAAGCTTTGGCGGCCCGATTTGCGAGAATCGACGGGCGACTCGGACGGTGGCGGGCTCTTTTCGTCGGTAAAGCTTCTAGCTGTCTTACGGCCACGCTCACCTTCCTCGTCCGACGAAGAGCTGTGATTGTCCTCGCTGCTGTCCTCGAGTAGCTCCTCTCCATCGGGGCTCATGTAATCCTTTGCCAAGCGACCACTGCCGTTCGTACTCGAACCTCGCATGGGCAGCTCGCTGAGACTGCCACCACCGGCGCGCCGAATGTTGAAATCGGAAAGCCGCCGGTAGGCATTTTGCATGTCGTAGCCTTGGCTGTCGGCGAGAAATGCAGCGCCGGCGGGGCTGAGAGCACGCGTATTGATGCCTGTGTGCGGAGACTTGGTACGCACGCCAAGACGGTTGTGTGGTGATTGGGACTTGTGGCTGGGCCCCTTGCTACGAGCACCGCCCGCAGCGCTGCGTCCATGAAGTGGGAGCGAATGGCCAGGCAGTTTGAGGTTGCTCACGTCGGTGCCGCGCATGACTTCTGCCATACTGGTTCCACGTTTGGAGCCGGGACCAGCCGCATGCGAGCTCGACATCCCCGAGCGTTTGGTTAAAATGGGGCTCTCACGGTTGGTGATGATGTCGGCGAACTGGTAGTTGGCCGTGGGGTCAGGGCGGTCTGACCTTCCCTGGTGCGCCCGGGGTCCAAAGCCGACAGGCTGGCCTGCGGCGTCGGACATGCTTCTCGGGTGGTGTACACCACCGCCGCCGCTGCCACTGCTGTTGTGACGGTGGTGGCTCGCGGGCAGCTGGTTTGGCTCCGTGGGTGAGCTTTGGGCGCTAAAGACGGGTTGGATAGTGGGCATTGGCGGGCTGTCGACATCCAGCATGCTGCGGATGGGCACGGGTGGAGGTCGGACGGGGTCGATGTCCAGCATGCTCCGTATCTGTTGCACTGCCGGGCGTGGGGAGCTCTGGCGAGACGCATTGGACGCTCCTGCAGCCGACGCATTGGACGTCTCGGGAGGGGCCTCGAGGTCGTCGTAATCGAGAATGCTCTGCATGGGAGAGCGCATGGGCGAGCGGGGATTATTCGAGTATGGCGATGTGGACCTACCAGCGCTCGCAATGCTCGACGACCGGCGACTGCGATCGGAACGGGATCCGAGCAGCGCCAAGACCTCAAGGCGCTCCTCGTCCATGACTGCCTCCATCGACATAGGTTTGTGCGCCATGGTAGCAACTGGTGCGTAGGTGACTCGGCTGTGTATAGGCGAATAACCAATAAGTCGATGTTCAAAGTCAGAATCGCGATTGTAACTGCCGAGTCGACGAGTGTTGCAGCGACGAGTGGTGGAGAGTTCGATTCGGGTCGCAACGTGGATTCCGAGGACGAAGGCGACAAGTCTCGTCTCGAGAGATGGAGATGTTATGACGCAGCTAGCAGAAAACTACAACTGGCAAACACAAATGCTCTGTTTTACAGATAAAACGTCGAGATGCTCGTGGTGAGGGGGAAGCGAAGAAAGCTGAAGCGCTGAGCAGCACGTGGCGGGGCGAGACACAAGCCAGGCCAGCCACGAGCAAAACTGGTACTGTGAGGGTAAGGCAGGGGAGGAGAAGGCCACGTCTTGGCAGCTTGGCAGCTTGGCAGGAATGCTTGACAATGACCAGCAA